TTTCTCAAGTCCTTGGAAAAAATGTCACTGGAAATAAAGTCCTGTGTTTTGGATTCCTGGGACTTTTTTTCCTAAAATAGTATGGGGGCTGCCAAGAAAGTCTCAGGAAATAAGATCTCAGGAAAAAAAGTCCTGAAGAAAATAAATCCGAGGAAAAGAAAAACCTAGAAAAAAAGGACTTTTTTCCATTGTGAATCATGCATTTTCACTTGTTAGAGGACTTTTTTTCCGAAGACTTTTTTGAATAAAATCATATTGGAGCCAGAAAAAAAGTCCTAGAAAATAAAGTCTCGAATTGGTAGGAGTTTATTATTATTATATAACGTTTGCCCTGGGTGGTGTATTTTTCGACCTACACATATCCGCCATACTCCACTTCTGACCTACGCCAAATCCGCTATACTACACATCCGACCTACTAGCACGTGGTATTACAGCTGCTATATGGACTTGTAGCCACAGCGCCCGGCCCCCTAGCCTGTCCTAGCCGCAGCGCTCGGCCCAGAAATTGTCTTAACCTAACCTAACCCTCAAATAATACTAAAATAAACAGCTGGCGTATAGGTCCGATATTGCAGTTGGTCGGAAAGTTAGTAGGTCAGAAGTTCAGTAGGGGGGATGTTGCGTATAGACGATGTAACATTACCTTGCACTAATGTCCGATTGAACTACGTATTACGATTTAAAATTGCAAATGATAATTATCGAGCATTACCGCCAAAGAGATTAGATTCTATTCTCTTTGATTACCGCGTTTAATTAGACTAAATTTTTTTCCCCGCCAGGAATATTTAGTACAAATGATCTGAGTGCAATTGATCTGGAATACAATTAAAATATTTGTTCAAACGAACTAATTTTTTTCTTCTGTAATTATTTATAGAGCGATTGAACGTTAGTGCAACTCCAACAAAAAAATTTTCAAACAGACTATGACTTTTTTCTTAAATAATTATTATTTATGAGCAAAATGGTGAATTTTAAAATTTGATTTCGATTGAACATTTTTTGTTCATCTGCACTTATCGGACAAAACAAATTACGAACATTCGTCTTTATGAAGTCTCATCCTTTGTGGAACCCTGTAGAATGCTTAAGATAGATGATACTACAAAAAAATGTTTATATTAATTTTATACCTAAACCACCCCCACCCCGTCTTTTATTCTTAAAAAATATTTTTAAGATTAAAAAAATACAGGGTGTCCCAAAAACATGGGAATTCAGTGACGAATTGGATATCGTCTTTGTTGTGAATTAGCATTGTAATACCTAGTTTCAAAAGCCATAATATTATTATATCTGGCGTCTGCTACAGTTTATTTTATGAAAAGGGTAAATGTCTGTAAAGATGTGTTTATAATGTCTCCGCAAGATGAACATGTGAAGACGGACAAGTTGACTCTGTTATACAGCAATTTTCTTGTTTTACTAAGTACAACCGTATATTCAGTCAAAACATAAACAAACAAAATGTGAACATCAGACGAAACTCTTACAGATTACAGCTTTCCAGTAGGTATCACTATACTAATCAAAGAATTATCTAAAAGGACGACATCGAATTCGTCACTGAATTCCCATGTTTATTGGGACACCCTGTACTGTACATTAAATTCCACGTTCTTGTTACTCACATACTCCAAAAATGAAACCGCGCGTAAACACCAATCTAGAATTATTTAATTTGCAAATAAAAATCTTTCCTACAAGATGATTTGAACTAAGTTTTAATATGATTAATATCAAGATAAAACAATTTTCTTTTTCCAAACGTACTTCAGACAGCTAGAACCAGTAAACTGTTATTATTAAATCACTTTTCATTGAAAAGGGTCTGTTTTATACTGCAAACTTGCTGTATCTCGTTCAATGGAGTCGGAGGTCTATTCAGGGGGGGGGGGGGGCTATGGGAGCTCAGACCCCCTGGACCAATGAAATCTATGGATTTCAGGGGGTTTTCAGGCCCCAACGGGAGCGGAGCCCCCCCCCCTGTAAAGAAAAAAGTTTAAGCCCCCTGGAAAAATTCCTGAATACGCCCCTGAATGGACTATTTTATCATAATTAATTAATTTAACGGCTCTCACTGTATGTATTTAGTTCTTAACTTATTACGCCGTGTTTTTAAGAAACACCGACACTTCAGTATTTCCTTATATGTATATCAATATCGGGCAAACAATATCCCCTTCCCCCCTCCCTAGATACCCCCCTGTCCGCCTAGAATTAGAACAAGCCTGGGGCTATGTGAAGGCTGGAAGCATATTTTAAGGTTTGAGAGAGATAATAAGGATATTTTTATTAATGATTCAGATATACCCAGATATATGCTACAATCTTTCTTCAAGATATTAACTCTTAAACCTATTCCATCCATGTACATCCTTCAAATGCCTTCAAAACAATTTGTTTTCCCTTCCCAATCTTAAAACTATTTTCTTCAAATCTTCTTCAAATTACTCCTGCAATATCCCCAATTTTCTTGCAATACTTCCAGGCCCGTAATTGGGTGTCTTTTTTGGGGTGGGGGCGTGCCGAGTGTAACGAAGTGAACGGGGCGGGGGTCGTAGGGGTGCAGAGCCCCCCTGCTTAGAAAATTTTTGATTTTTCTGTCTGAAAAACTAACTTTATTAACCTTAAATTCGTGAAATAAACAATAAAGTCTGGAAACAAATTATTTTTTATTAATAAAATACATATTATATGTAAAAATTAAAAAAAAAATCTAGTTTAAGATTTGCAAAATGAAACTGCAGGGCAGATATTGTTAAACAATGGAATTAATGAAATACAGTGATAACCAGAAAACTCTGGATTAATAGGAAGTTGACTTTTAGACTCAAGTTCACACTGGTGAAAATTGACCATCAGGTTTCAAGTCAAAACATCTGAACTTTTTCTTCGGAATATATTAATATGCAGTCTACTGTGAACTATTATCTCAATTTTCAGGAAATGCCATCTAGATAATTTTTAGTAAATCCATTTTTAAGATATTGTAGAAATCAAGTCCATTTTCACTATGCCTTAATCATCTTTCCATTTCATCCAACTTTCTTTTAAATTCCTCTACCATCCTTTCTTTTCATCCAACTTTCTTTTAAATTCCTCTACCATCCTTTCATTTCCTCCAACTTTCTTTTAAATTCCTATACCATACTTTCATATCCGCCAACTTTCTTTTAAATTCCTCTACCACTCTTTCATTCCCTCCAACTTTATTTTAAATCCTCTACTATCCTTTCATTTCCTCAAACTTTCAGTTAAATTCTCCTATACCATCCTTTCATTTCCTCCAACTTTCTTTTAAATTCCGCTACCACACTTTAATTCCCTCCAACTTTATTTTAAATTCAGCTTCCGCACTTTCATTCCCTCCAACTTTATTTTAAATTCCGCTACCACACTTTCATTCCCTCCAACTTTATTTTAAATTCCTCTACCATCCTTTCATTTCCTCCAACTTTCTTTTAAATTCCTATACCATCCTTTCTTTTCATCCAACTTTCTTTTAAATTCCTATACCGGACTTTCATATCCGCCAACTTTCTCAAAATTACTCTACCTGCTTCCATCATTTCATTCTTTCCAACTCTCTTTTAAATTCCTCTACCATCCGGGCATTCAATTCAACTCCCCTTCTCAACACTTCCACCATCTTTTCATTCCCATCCATACTCTTTCAAATCGTTCCACCATCCTTACATTCCCTCCCATATTTTTTTTAATCCTTACACTGCAGTTCATTACACTTCACCCATCGCATTTACAATTTTTCCACCATCCTCTCATTCCCGCCCATTCTCTTAAATCCTCCACTGTCCACTCATTCCCTTCCATTCTCTTTACGATCCTTCCACCATCCACTCATTCCCTTCATTCTCTTTGCAATCCTTCCACCATCCACTCATTCCCTCCCATTCTATTTTTGATCCTTCCACCATACACTCATTCCCTCCCATTCTCTTTACGATCCTTCCACTATCCACTCATTCCCTTCCATTCTCTTTACGATCCTTCCACCATCCTCTCATTCCCTTGCATTCTCTTTACGATCCTTCCACTATCCGCTCATTCCCTCCCATTCTCTTTGAATACTTCCTCCATCCTCTCATTTACTCTTGCATTCTATAGATCCTCCCACCATTCTTTTGTTCCCTCCCGTTTTCTTTTAATCCTTCCACAATCCTCTAATTCCCCCCCCCCCCATTCTAATTAGATCCTTCCAACATCCGTTCATTCCCTCCCATTCTCTTTTAGATCCTTCTACCATCCTCTCATTCCCTCCCATTCTCTTTTAAATCCTTCCACTATCCTCTCATTCCCTCCCATTCTCTTTTAAATCCTTCCTCCATCCACTCATTACCTCCCATTCTCTTTTAGATATCCTTTCACTATCCTCTCATTCCCTCACATTATCTTTTAGATCCTTCCACTATCCTCTCATTCCCTCCCATTCTCTTTTACACAATCCTCTTATTCCCTCCCGGATTCTCTTTTAGATCCTTTTACCATCCTCTCATTTCCTATCATTCTATTTAGATCCCTCCACTACACCTCTTACACTTAATCTTCTATTTTATAAATTTAAGCCATATCTTTTAGAAATCAGCATTTTTCCTTATCTTCATACGTATAATATCTATTAATAAAACAATTACAAAAAAATTAATGGAAAAATTTCCAAACCAAATATTAAAAATATTTCAAAACAAATCCGCGATTATTTTTTATCTCTGAATAAAGAGTTTATTTACATCTGCGGCTTATATTTGTCTCTGAAACCCACGCTCTGCTCACTGCTGTCCGTTGCCGACCGACTGTCCAAGATATCCGTTTTTGAAGTTGTCGTAGTGAAACGTTTTGAAGCTTTGTTTTGATTGTATTACGTAATTTGAAGTTCTAATAGATAAATGATTGATAGAAATGTGTGACAGAGTTGACTATAATTTAGTGACAACAGTAAATAATTCAGATTCAATGTAATTTTGCTTTGTTTTGATTTAAACGTTATTTTATCTTTCAGAAAGATTTCTCTAGTACTAAGTGAAAATGGTGACAGCAGATGATGCACCTAAACTGATCTATCCTCCTCCGGAGGTATTTATTTTAGTTCAAGGATTTAAACTATCTGTGGTTGTGTTTTTACAATGGGTAATTTCCTAGTATACGATTTTTTGGACCCCCCCCAGGCCCCCCCCACGTATATTAGGATACCGTCCGCCAAATTGATGATTTGAGCAGGAATTAAATTGAAAATTTGGGCAAATTTTTGGTAATTTCTCAGTGTCGGAATTTTGGACCCTGCCCCCAGGTAATTTCCGAGTATGGGAGTTTTGGACCGGCGTCATACATGTAGCTGACTCCTCCTAAAGTTTGAACCATTTAAATACAATGTTAGAAGTTAAAAGCTATGTTATGACATTTCCAATATTTATTAATGTATTTTCATTTCACATCTAAAATTATGTATGTCGAGTAAATACTAATTTTTTGATGATTTAAATGGAAGAAGACATTCAAGAGGAAATAACAAATTTTGCCTTTACCCCCTTTAAAATACAATTAAGAACTAAATGTGTATTTAATACGTGTCAACTAATAAGTTTTAGTGTTTTAGCATTGTTTAATGTCTAACATTGTGGTAAAATGGTTAAAACTATAGGGGTCTAGTTCGCATCATGCAAGAGTCCGCTCCGTGCAAGACACTGGCGCCCCCCCCCCCCCCCCCCCCGGCGCGGGTCCGATAATCCTTTACCAGGACTGAACCCATCTTTTAAAATCTTTATTCTTCAAAGACTCAGTAACATTCCCCTTAAAATCATTTATGCTCTCTAATTCAGCGAGTAAAGCCCTTACAAGGTTTCTTCCCACTCCGTGCAAGCCTATATTACTTCTGGGGAAAAATAAATTTTAAAATGGGGAGGGGGGGGGGGTAAGAAAAATTCATTTTTGAGGAAATGTACACCCCAGCGATCACTGCTGGCAAATTTTAGTTCATGCAAATTCTCCCTGTAGTTCAGTTAGTTCAGTTATGCCATGCCATGTTCGATTTAGCTAAAGGTGAAACGGTGGGATGGGGGCTTTTAAATTCGTAGTTCAGCTTATAAGCAAGCAATAAATAAATATTACGTTTAGGAAACAAACTTGGAAATAATAAATTTGAATTTTTAGGTTAGAAATATAGTTGACAAGACTGCTGGGTTTGTAGCAAGAAACGGACAGGAGTTTGAGCACAGGATTAAACAGAATGAGGTCAATTCTTCTTTAAATTAAAATTAACCACTGAAGAAACCAGGAGACAGTAAAACGATTGTCGTCATCATTCTTCTGATATTAAGATGTCACCAGGAATTCATGGCACAATGATGAATTAAATATTTACAAAATCCTTTATACAATTTTAATGAAAGAAAAGAAGACAATTATTCCTCTTTTTTATTGGGTTCCTTGGTTATGACGAATCAAATTTATTCATTTGGAGAATTTTAATTAAGAATGTTCAATTCTATTTACTAATTGTTCATGAGCATTTCTTTAAATAAGATTATTTATTACATGTTTCATAATTCAATACTTTATACATCAGTGTAGTAAGTTGTGCGCATTGGACAAAAGACTAAAGGGACTTTTTTAGCGTAATTTCAATTGACCCTCCATGTAAAGATGACTATTACCGATTTACAATGGTACCCTGAAAACCTTCATCTGATCAGAAATGTCGAAGATAACGTCGTTTTTCCGAATTTTTGATTCTGCCAACTTTTCCTAGTTTCTTAAAAGCAAATAATGCGCAAGTGTCACTTTTGCAGAAATAACCAATAAAGAAAATAAACATCAGAGACATAGTCAGGGGCTCCTGGAACAGGGAAATATATGGATTTCAGAGGGTTTTCAGGCCCCGCTAAGCCCTCTCTGAGATAAAAAATAATTTGATCCCCCCTTGGACAAATTCCTAACTACGCCCCTGATGAACATTCATACTTGATCAGACAAAACGTTTAATGGTACTGTGAAACATCATTTTTGAATGGAGGTTTATTTGAAATTGCACTGAATGTCCTGATATGATAAAAAAAATCTTTTTCATGAAAATATATATTTTCTATTTGTAAAATATTGTTTGTATTGCAGGTAAACAATCCAAAGTTCAACTTCTTGAACCCTGGAGACCCATATCATGCTTACTATCAGCATAAAGTGGTTCAAATCAGGTAAGTTAATAGATTACAAAAAATTAAATTATTTCTGCTCCTTCTTCTGCCTCACAATAAAAAAGTTTCTCAAAGTTTAACTATTACCTTCCTAAAGTTTGGAAAGTTACTATTGTATTGTGATACTTATTTTGGACTTGTGTAGTCCTACGGATCTAATTAATTTCTCTTTGATATCCCGTGATACTTGGCCCAAATCTTAAATTAAAATCAAGTGCAAATTGTGGTTTCTGGAATCAAACTCATTGCTTGTTTAGGCAGGTTTATGCTTACATTTATCGCAGTCTACTTTTTCACAGAAAATAAATAAAAGGGGTTCAGGTGTATTCACGTTTAATTTTGATTATTAAATGTGTTTTCATTTTCCAGGGAAGGAAAACCGGAAGTTGAAAGGGTTGATAAGAAAGGGCCCGCCGAGGTTTCGAAGAAGCAGGCGGAAGTTATCAAGGCGATCGCCCACAAGAAGGAAGAACCGCTGGTGCCCAAGGAACCACCTCCAGAATACGAATTTCTGGCGGATCCACCTTCAATATCTGCTTTCGACTTGGGTAATATTTTATTTATATTTGATAATTAGATTATTGAAAGGACAAGAGACAAGAATGCAGGATTCAACTCAATGTCCAAGAAGTATGTAGTTAATCAAAAATAAAAAATGTACCCATTTTAAGACTAATTTTGCCTCAACATAAAACCATTATTCGCATATATCCCGTACACAACCTGAGCTCTAAGGGAGAAAAAGTGAAAAATCTACCCAGCCTACTCAATATATGGATCTTCTTGTCAAGCCTTTGAGTGTTTCAAAATTGTTCTAAATTTTAGATGTTGTCAAGCTGACTGCACAGTTTGTTGCGCGTAATGGTCGTCAGTTCTTGACCCAGCTGATGAACCGAGAGCAGAGGAATTATCAGTTTGATTTCCTTCGTCCGCAGCATTCACTTTTCCAGTACTTTACCAGGCTACTGGAGCAGTATACTAAGGTGAGTTAAGGAAAATAAAATCTTGTTCCCCCCCCCCACCCTCCTCCTAAATAATCTTCAGCCAAATATCATGATTGAAGAATTTGATTATTGTTCTTTTCAGATTTAAACTTGATTGATTGATTGTTATTGTCCTTGTTAAGGTACTTCTGCCCCCGAAAGAGTTACAAGGAAAGCTTGATGCGGAGGCAGGAGATAAAACTAAAGTTTTAGATCAGGTAATTATTAGTATTATTATTATTATTATTATTAATATTAATATTATTAGTATTGTTATTATTATTATTATTATTATTATTATTATTATTATTATTATTATTAATATTATTATAACTAGTTTGGTGTAAATTNTATTATCATTATTATCATTATTATCATTATTATTAGTATTTTCATTATTATCATTATTATTAGTATTTTCATTATTATCATTATTATCAGTATTGTCATTATCATTATTATCATTATTATCATTATTATCATTATTATTAGTATTATCATTATTATCATTATTATTATTAGTATTATTATTATTAGTACTATCATTATTATCAGTATTATCATTATTATCATTATTATTATTATTAGTATTTGTATTATTATTATTATCAGCATTATTATAAATACTAGTATTTTTATTATTTTTATTTACCGAAGGAATAATAAGATCCGTCCATAGACTAACTGTTGATCAAAAACTCTTAATTATATTCTATAGCTTGAGAACCCAGCTTGACCTGGAAACTATGTTTTCCTATTAAAGTCGACCTACTAAATTTTAAACATTCCACGGGTTCTAATGTGAGGCAAATCGGGATAGGGGTTCTTGAGTTATGATTAATTGGACATACTAAAACACAGACAGATAAACTAAAAAAACTCCTTTACATATTTATATACGCACATAATACTCGAAAAACCAAGTGTTTTCTGCGTGGAAATTTTTATATTGGGCATATAAAATTTTTTAATGATTGTTTCCTATTTTTATATTTTCCTATTAGTCTCTAAAATCGAATTTACAGCCATGAACGATCCGAAATGATGTGGGACACCATGTTTATATATGTATATATGGATGTATTAACTTTGACTAGATAAAAGAAAAATTTTGCAATCAATCAATAAATCACGATCAATCAATCAATTAGCTAACTGCGTATTTGATCTAGGTGAACTGGCGTGTAGCTTGGCAGCGTCAAGAGGAGGCTGCTAAGAGGAAACAAGAAGAAGCTCTTGAGAGAGAGAGGGTTGCTTATGCGCAGGTTTAGATTAATGAATTTTTATTAAGATTTTAAAAAATAAAATGTTATCTTTATGTTCTTTATTTTCAGATTGACTGGCATAACTTTGTTGTTGTTGAGACCGTCGACTATCAACCCTGGGAGGTCGGCAATTTCCCGCCACCAACCAACCCGACCGAGGTCGGAGCAAGAGTCCTCATCCAACGTCGACAAGAGGAACACGGTCCTGCTCCGACTGCGCCCGCCGACAGCGACAGCGAAGAGGAGGAGGAGGCAACAGCAGGCGCTGACACCCAGGTTCAGGATATGGAGGAAGGAAGTAGCTCTGAAGAGGAGGATGAACCGGTCGAACAAACCGTCGAGGATCCCAAGAAAACCGCCGAGGCGATGAAGGCAGTTCCGGCTCCCCCAATGCCGGCGCCTCCAGTTCAGCCGCCGCCGATTCAGGCGCCGCTGCCTGGCAGTGTTGTTGTGAAGAAGTATGATCCTAAGGCAGCTGCTGCAGTTAGGAAGAAGACGGAGGAAGATCAGTTCTTGATCTCTCCTCTCACTGGAGAAAAGATCCCGGCTGGGAAGGTTGCGGAGCATATGAAGGTGAGAAAGAAAAAATTTTCTTCCGTGGGGGGGGGGGAGAGTTCCTCAGGATTCTCGTCCCATTTCTTAGCGTAAGCAGCATGAATTATGATGATTTGATAAATGATTATGCTTTTTTTAAACAAGGGGTTTTATTTAGGGTTAGGTTTCACATATCTATCCTTTTCTTCAAGAGTTTTTTCTAAGATGATTTTATGAATAAAACTTTGAAATTAGTATTTAAAAGATAACGGAATAACTTTTTATTAATGTCACTAATAATTTTTTCCAGGTTGGATTGTTGGATCCTAAATGGTTGGAGGAAAGAGACAAGCAGATCATTTCGAAGGTAATAAGTCAATCTTTTGACTACAAACTGTTCTTCATGTGTAGAAAAAACTTCGGAAGCGCCTTCAGTTCTTCATAAAAAATCCTAAATAAAGAAATTACCATTTTCCTCAATATTTATTGAAAAACACTCTTTATCAAGATGTGGCTTCATGGAGATCTTATCTGGTAGAGGGTTACCCACAAAGCATGAGACTTCAGTGGCAACTGTACAGAATTTTTTATTTTATCAATGGTACTCTGTATCTGTAAACTCGTTCTTTTCTTTGACATACCCTTAAAACTATATTAAACATATTAAATCAAATTCAATCTTTGTAATTGTAGTATGATTGAATTCTAAACATAAATATTGATTTATAAAAAATGAATTGTTTATTTAAATGTTTGTAATCTAGTCGAACGAGGAGGTAGTGTTTGCTCCGGGGCAGGCAATAGAGTCCAACTTGAAGCTGCTGGCGGAGAGAAGATCCGATATCTTCGGAGTAGGTCAGATTCCTTTACTTTTTCAAACCCCGCCCTGGTTTGGTTTGCACGCAAAGTTTATTATGATAAGATTATTTCAAATTTAATGCTTTATTTTAATGATTTAAAATAAATCTATATATAAAATAAACATAAAGAAATAGAAAATGTACACCCCTGGAAAACCCCCTTTGAAAACATTCTCGACATACTCGGGAAGAAAAGACTTTTAAGAATAGATAAAGTTTCTGTCGGAATATTAACCAGGTTCTTCAAGTACTGATTCAATGTTGATTCTCTTATTTAGGTGAGGAGGCAGCCCAGGAGACCTATATTGGACAGAAGATCGGAGAGGAGGAACAGAGGGTTAATGAAAAGGTAAAAATAATATTTCAACGTGTTCAAAAAAGTTCATGAATGAGGTATTGACAGTCTCTTTTTTATACGACTTAAATCATTTCAAATATAAGTTTTTTTATCCCAGAATTATTTTGAAATCGAAGCAAAGTATTAGAAAATGTTTATCCATCAATTCTAGAATACTTGGGATGGTCACAGTAGCTCCGCTGAAGCAGCTGCTAGAGCTGCCAGGAAGGATATCACCTTGAACGATCAGATCGCCCAGATCCATAAACAGAAAGGTCTTATACCGGACAGGGAAACTAAAACTGTTGCGGTCACGCTACCGCCTCAGCAGCAGCCTCCCATGCAACAGCAACAACCTCCACAACAAAACCAGGTATTTTACGAATTACAAAATACATATTTTCAAAATTCTACGACATACATATTTAAAGTATGCGGATCGATTTCAAGTAAGATTAGTTTTGCAAATGGGAAGTTTACCAAACTTCGGAATTTGCTCAATTTGAATTAGAATAAATTCTCAGGTTTCAATTTCGTTGGACCAAACCTAAGTTAATTTATTCTTGTCAAACAAAAATCACAATTATGCATAGTATTAGTAACATATTACGTTTGCGATAGCATTGGATCTATATTTAATGATTGGCATTGGTAAAGACTTTAGACTCAATGCTTGAAGGAAGCCCTTGAAGACCACTATTTGACGATCTATAATCTAGATGCAGATGATCCGACCTATGATGGGTATGCCTGGGATGGGTATGCCTGGAATGCGACCACAGATGATGGTTCATCAGCCCATGTTCATGCAGCAGCAGAATATGCCTAGGCCTTTATTCATGCAGCATCCAGGTAGAACATTATACAATAATATGGATCCAGGGACCGAATTTAATGAATTTGAACTACTTCGCTGAACAACCATCTGTCGGTTCAAATTTGAACCACTGATTTGAAGTTGAAGATTTAGCAAAGATTTCACATTTATCAGAATCAGGAACAGTCAACAGAAGAAAAAGAAATAAAGGAAGAATGAGAGGAAAGATGACAAGAATAATAAAATTAGAATTTTTCTGTATTAACTTCATATAAACTATAAAATTCAAAATTCAAAATAATAAATTGTTAAAAAAAATGCTTGCGCCTTTAAAAAATCAGTAAATCTTAAAGAATTGTTCATGCCCTAGGTCCGGATCCATTTTTATTCCGGATCCGCATCAAAATTAAATGGATCCTCACCACTGAGATTAAGGACGGATTTGAATCGTTGATTCAAATTTGAATGGCAGTATTCAGTTTAAATTCATTAAATTCGGTCCTTGGCATAAATATTCCATTAGGCTTGATTGTACTCCGTTCTCTTTTAAGTTCGACTATCATCGAATGTATGTTAACCGTTTAACTGGTTGTTGCAATACTCAAGTGTAAGTTACATCAAAGTTTACTCTAGGACCTGGTGGACCGCGTCCTGGAGGACCGGGTGGACCTGGAGGACCTGGTATGCAGCATCAGCGCGGCGGAGTAGAGGAACCTCCAGCTAAAAAGCAGAAGACAGAGGAGAACTTGATCCCTGAACCAGAGTTTATTGCTAACAATCCTAGTCCAGTTACATTCAAGGTAGAAATTTACTTTTTTCAAAAAAACATTTTTTTGTTTCCATTTTTATAACTTGTCCAACATCCATGCAGTATCTGTGTTTTGATTTCTTATATTTATTCATGTAGGAGCCAATTTTATCATAAAATTACTTGAAAATGCAGAAAATTGACAAATAATTGACGCATTTCTATAAAATAATCGACATAAAACAAATAAATGGCTTGGTTGAAATGTATTAAGATAATTAGAATTGTGCCCTGTTTACGGTTCCAATTCAATAAAGTGAATGGGACTAAAAAAAGTATTTTTTTATTAAGTACTTAAAATGACAAGTTTATTACCTTTTATATTCTGATCATATCTGTTAGATATCTGTCTACAAAATATATTTATATTCCTGTAATATATTAGTTATATTTACTATTTAGATATCTGCCCCTAAAATATGTTTATATCTAGATATCTGTTCCTAAAATATAGTTAATCTAGATATCTGTTCCTAAAATATATTTAATCTAGATATCTGTTCCTAAAATATATTTATATCTAGATATCTGTTCCTAAAATATATTTATATTTAGATATCTGTTCCTAAAATATATTTATATCTAGATATTTGTTCCTAAAATATATTTATATTTAGATATCTGTTCCTAAAATATATTATATATCTTGATATCTGTTCCTAAAATATATTATATATCTAGATATCTGTTCCTTAAATATATTATATATCTAGATATCTGTTCCTTAAATATATTTATATTTAGATATTTGGTCCTAAAATATATTTATATTTAGATATCTGTTCCTAAAATATATTATATATCTAGATATCTGTTCCTAAAATATATTATATATCTTGATATCTGTTCCTAAAATATATTATATATCTAGATATCTGTTCCTTAAATATATTATATATCTAGATATCTGTTCCTAAAATATATATCTAGATATCTGTTCCTTTAATATATTATGTATCTAGATATCTGTTCCTAAAATATATTATGTATCTAGATATCTGTTCCTTAAATATATTATGTAATATGTATCTAGATATCTGTTCCTAAAATGGCTGATAAACCTGAATGGAAGTTGAATGGACAAATGTTAACTCTAACTTATCCTCTGGAGGAAACCATTACAACCATCAAGGTATTTTTTATATATTTAGGGGGGGGGCCTGCCTTCTTTTTTGGTTCAAATCTTCCAATTTTTTGGCTGCACGCCTTATCAGTGTTCGAAATTCCTAAAATCAAATAAAATTGAATTTTAATGACCTCTAATGACCTCTAGTGACCTCCACTGGTATGGAAATATTGTAGACTAAAATCTATGATATGACTGGTATGTAATTATTTAAGACTAAAATTTTGACTTGACTGGTAAATAAACATTTTAGACTAAAATCAATGATTTGACTGGCATGTAAATATTTTAGGCTAAAATCAATGATTTGACTGGTATGTAAATGTTTCATACTAAAATCAATTTTTTGACTGGTATATTTTAGACTAAAATCAATGATTTGACTGGTATATTTTATACTAAAATCAATGTTTTGACTGGTATGTAAATATTTTAGGCTAAAATCAATGATTTGACTGTAAATGTTTCATACTAAAATCAATGTTTTGACTGGTATATTTTATACTAAAATCAATGTTTTGACTGGTATGTAAATGTTTTATACTAAACTCAATGTTTTGACTGGTATGTAAATATTTTAGGCTAAAATCAATGATTTGACTGGTATGTAAATATTTTATACTAAAATCAATGTTTTGACTGGTATCTAAATGTTTTATACTAAAATCAATGATTTGACTGGTATGTAAATGTTTTATACTAAAATCAATGACTTGACTGGTATGTAAATATTGTAGACTAAAATAAATGACTTGACTGGTATATAAATATTGTAGACTAAAATCAATGATTTGACTGGTATGTAAATATTTTTTGACTGGTATGTAAATGTTTTATACTAAAATCAATGACTTGACTGGTATGTAAATATTGTAGACTAAAATAAATGACTTGACTGGTATATAAATATTGTAGACTAAAATCAATGATTTGACTGGTATGTAAATATTTTATACTAAAATCAATGATTTGACTGGTATGTAAATATTTTATACTAAAATCAATGATTTGACTGGTATGTAAATATTTTATACTAAAATCAATGATTTGACTGGTATGTAAATATTTTATACTAAAATCAATGATTTGACTGGTATGTAAATATTTTAGGCTAAAATCAATGACTTGACTGGTATGCCGCCCGGAAAACAAAAGATACAACACGAGGATGGATTCTTCTTAAAGGTAGATTGTAAACAAACAAACCTGCAGTACACTAGTAAATTATGTAGTTCGGTACAGTTTATGAAAGAGCTTTTCCCATGGGACTGAAAGCTTAGTTTGAAGTGATTTTAATAAAGAAAAGTTTACCAGATTCACCACAAGATTCTACCCTTTAAACCTTGGACTGATGAGGGATAAATCTACCCTTTAAACATTGGACTGATAAGGGATAAATCTACCCTTTAAACCTTGGACTGATATGGATTAATTTACCCTTTAAACCTTGGACTGATATGGATTAATTTACCCTTTAAACCTTGGACTGATTTGGATTAATTTACCCTTTAAACCTTGGACTGATATGGATTAATTTACCCTTTAAACCTTGGACTGATATGGATTAATTTACCCTTTAAACCTTGGACTGATATGGATTAATTTACCCTTTAAACCTTGGACCCTTTAAACCTTGGACTGATAAAGGATAAATCTACCCTTTAAACCTTGGACTTAAAAGGGATAAATCTACGGAAACGCTTTAAATTTCGAAATGCTTTGTTTGTAGCTGTTATTTATTAACTGTCCACAGCGTACAGTCGCGTTTAAGAGGAATTCGAACGGGTTTTGATGTTAAATTAGAAAGAAATCTTTACTCTTATAACAATGTAAGGTTTCAAGGGTAGCGTTGTTAATCAGACATTGCCCTCGATTTAAAATTACGCTTACAGAGAATTCCATGTAATTAATTTCAACCTCCCATGCTCTTGATGTGTGAATTTATCCCAGTTATTACACTGACTTTATTTAAACTTTTTTCCTAAATAATTAAAAGTAAACCTTTTTTTGACTTGACTGTAACGTGTTTATTCGTTTTCTTTTCACTTTTTCAGGTCATCGAAATTTATAAGCATGGATAAAATAAATACCCCCCCCCCCTAACCCTGGATAAATGTGTTGCTATGGTAAACTTCTTCTTCAAACATTTATCAAACGTAAAAAATATCGAAATATACATTCAAAGACGCACAGAAAACAAAGGCTATGGAAGATCATAGATAAAATTCAGTAAATTGAACTTGTTTATTAAAAACAACCATCAAACATCTCTGCTGAGCTCCCACTGTAAATCTAACATGCTATCCAAATTGAATAATTCTAGGCCGTCATATTTCATGGATTAATTTACCCTTGCTGGCAGTACACAAAATATTTTGTAAACAAAGAATCCGGGTTTTTACAAAATATTGCAGTAACAGTGAAAATTTTCTAAATTATCCATGTTTTTACTGTACTGTCGATTTGAGCCTTTTTTTCGTCAAACAGACACAATTCCTTTGTTTACAAAATAATGTAGTTTCTGTGAGGAGTTGTAACAGAGCTGCAAGTTTTCTTTATATACCTCTCAAAAACTGATGTATACATTATTTGTAAACAAAGATAATGGGGGCCAGTACAACTACAGTACATGGACTTGTAAAGGGTTCCTTCAGTACAAATGTGTTCGTTTTTATCCTAAACAAAGGTAGTACGGGTTGGTTTGTGTACATCAAGTAATTTAAAAGTAACTCCCGTAAAATAAAGCGTACTGCAATTTCTCGGAGGAATGTAAACAATCAGTGCTGCCATACTGCAGTGTAAGCTTTGCCTAAATTCCTCACCAGAACTGCAGTACAATTAATTTTATGGGAGTTCCTCTTATATTTTGTCGACTTTCTGCAGTACGCATAGGGGTTATTATTGTTTTATCATCTGTGAGGTGTACTCCAGTGTAAACAAACTACAGGGTAGTTATGTTTATAATAACATGATATTTAAACGGTCAGTCTAGTCATGATAGTGAGATATTGAACTAGGTAGTGAGTTTCCCATACTTGGAATTCTATTACGTTCAAACCTCTCTGCTTTATTTACGTTGTAATGTCAACATTGGGAATTCATAGAATCTGAATTTATTTGATTAATACTGCGTTCCAATTCTAATATTGGATTTTAAGTTAATTTTAAAGTTTATTTAGCTGCGTAGCAATTCTCTTTGATATAATAAACTATTTTTTCCTTTACCATCAGCTTGTTTCTACTTTTAATTGAATGTTTAGATTATTACAATCTAGATTTTTATGCATTGAGAACCAGAAAACTCTGGAACAGGATTAATGGGATTTAATAAGTTACTAATATTTTTGTAACTACAGTAAATACACTAGTGCTCTAATGCTATGCGACAGTTTTCTGGTTCTCATTGTATCAATTTTTATTCATTTGTAATCTAAATTTTCTGTACTCGAAATTATTTTTAACGTATTAGTACTTCAATTTTTTCAATCTTTAAATATTAAAACAAGGAAAACTCCATTTGTTTTAAAATATTTCTTTTTCTCTCTCGTATAATCCCTATTTTGGGCATATTTTTGTCATTAATATATTTTATGTTTTATATCTTATTTTGATTAAATGCATTATTATTTTTTAATAATTATTCGCTTGTTATTATTAAGGATGCGAACACTCTCGGGTTCTACAACGTTACTTCACGTACAGTTTTCTCCCTTCAGCTGAAGGAGAGGGGAGGAAGGAAGAAGTAAATCGTGATCAACACCATTACCATCAAGATCAACAGCAAGATCAACAATTAGATCAAGATTATCGAAGCATATATCAAAATCTGTAAGGTCAACAAGAGTTACTACTTCAGCTACTACAGCAAGAACTCGTTTGTCGCTTGATATAAACTGGATTTATTTATCGATCTACGGTTCTAGTTCAGTTGATATGTATAATCTTTGTTTTGTAGATAATCTAATACTTTCTTTAAGAGTAACATCTTAATGTAGATAATTCTTTTAGATTTTCAAACATTTAATCCTTCATTTTTAAATTTTTAATTGCAGAAAGATGTCTCTAGAACCTTACATATACGACAGTGGTCCTAACTACCCAAATGTAAATGGTTCCTACGCAACTACTAGTACCTACGCATCTAATTTCACCACGGCATACTCGGAATCAGCAGAAAACCAGGTGCGTCATAACTCATAAATTGCGCCATTGTTATTGGTTAGGTTGACCTTATCTGGAGCGGGCTCAGTTTGGGTCAGTTTCACTTAGGACTTTCTACAGAGCAGTCTCATATACACAGCGCCAAGACATCTGTCTCAACATGTATCATAGCTCGGTAGAAATGTATGGACGGAAATCCACCAAAAATAAATACGTTCTAGTCCCATATGTAAGTAAAGATTATGAAAACCCATACTTCTTTATTTTATGCCAGTATCAAGCTGAAATGCTCCTTTTGCTGTTTTAAACTAATTAAACTAAAAAAGCTAAATTTATATTTGAGGGTTTTGTTAGGTTAAGACAATTTCTGGGCCGAGCGCTGCGGATAGGATAGGCTAGGGGGCCGAGCGCTGCGGCTAGGACATGTTAGGGGGCCGGCTGCCATAATTTTATAAAATGAGGCCATGTGTTACTCTACATTTTTTAATTCCTTTAAAGATCAGTTCATTTAAAAATAATCGATTTTTATTTTGTCTTTTGGACTAATATTTAAATGGAATAAGAACCGGTTTGTGAACAGCTTACTTTAGTCCAATTAAACTCTAGTTCAATCGCCTAGTAGTCTAATCGATATAGCATCAAACAGTGTGCAGAGCTATGATCCCGATGGTATAAATTGAGTTGTTTAAAATTGAGTTGTTAAACACTGTTCAAAATTGAGTTGTTAAACACTGTTCAAAATTGAGTTGTTAAACACTGTTCAAAATTGAGTTGTTAAACACTGTTCAAAATTTCCGATGAGTGATACGTTTTGTGCCCCTCCCCCTTATTGTTAAAGCATGGGCAAGTATGAGAGTTCCCTTTTGGTACTTATATTTAATTTATATATTTATTAATGTTCCCTGTTTAGAACATGATGTACAAGCTGCTGGAACCTACCCCGGAGTATCTGATGAACCAGGATATCAACTCCATCAGCACACAGATAGCAGACCTTAATGCACTAGCAGAGTTCAATGCTAAGGTAAAACTTTTTTTTGGTGGGTTTCACTTTGACTTGTCTTGGGGTTATCGACCCAATTCTAGATCCTTTTATTCTATGCAATGTTCCCCGAAAAATGCGAGATTTACTTGTCCTCGAATAATCCCGTTCCCCTTCTTATTTCTTAGAAATTCTGATAATATTCTTGGAATGTCACGTGATTTTGAAATGTAACTCATGTTTGATACTACGTATTTCTCCTAGGCTAATGCTGTTGGATTAGATTTGCAACGATTTATCGCCTTGAACCAGAAGTTTCTGCCGGAGGATAAATACCGTGGTACTTTGGACAATAGTTCATCATCTCATCAATCCTTGTATCAAGGATCCTTCTCCAGTCAATCCAACCCATACTTGAACCAAACCAACCCATACTTGAACCAGAGCAATGCATACTCCCATCCTGGATACAGAGAGTCCAGAGCCTACTCCAACACACAGAACGCCCCAAGAGGGTTTAAGGAGTTCTTTAGTTCAGATCATCAGTCAGCCTTTGCTCAGCGTTCCCAACCTGCTCCCTACTCCTGTAATACCCTGGATAATATTCCGTCAAAGGATAGGTTTGACATGACCGGACTAGGTCGAGGATTGCCAAATGCTTACAATGATGAACATCGCCAAAATTTCAAACCTATGCCGACTTACGAGATGATGAGGGCGGAGGCTGCTGATAACGAGATTAGAGGACACCTAGAGAAGAGGATTGAACCAACCCTGCCCCAGCCTAGAGTTAGTAGTCAGAGCTCAGTTGAGATGAAGAAATCTAGTCTTCTGGGATTAACTGATATCTCTGCTAGACTTGAGGCAACCCTGAGCAGTTCACATTCCACTAGCTGGACTCCTTTAGGCGTAGGAAGTGCTGGAACTCCATCCAAAACACCGTCACCCAACCTCACCGCTGATTCCATATCCCAGTCCGAAGGGAATCCTATCGAGCAGTACATTTTCCTCTCGGACGATGAGGAGGAGAGCGTAAACATCTCAATGAAGAAAGCTATATATAATGGAGTAGAATCTTCTCGTCTCTCTGGCCAAATGGCACCTATCCCGCTGCCAGAAAGCCGGTCAAACCCACCTCTACCCACCCCTCTTGGTAATCTGGAGAACCGAACCCTTACCCGAACCACCAGCTGGAGCCAGGTTGTGAGAACTACCGGAGCCAAACCTATTCCTCTTACTACGTCTCTTGCTCCTATCCAACTTGCTCCCTCTCCATCCCCAGGATACGATAGTCCATGTTCATCTCCGTCCTTAGAAACTCCTGTCTCAGAGTTCCACAGAGGTCCCAAGGTTGATCCTCGTTGGCCTGTGACCCAGCAGGTTTTCCTCGGTCCCATTCCGGTCAGTGTAACCTGGGACGAGATTAGGAACACCTTCTACAACAAGGTGGCGCGTCATCAGATCCTTCACACCTACGTACAGAGTAAACCCGTCAACGACGTGGTGTACGGACAGATCGTGTTTGACAAGTCTGCGTTGGCCATCAAAGTGCTGAAGGAGGGTCCCATCAAGGTAAGACATATTGAAAGTTAACGTCAACTCAAATTATCCATATTTTAATAGACACCGATACCCTTAAACCCTTCGTCTTAAAGGATGATTGATATAAATTGATTATTTTTAATTGTGGTTCTTGCCTCGAATAATCCTCCAGCAAATCTAATTCACACCGGGGTTACCTTCAAACCTTTATCTTCAAGGATGAATGAATTATTTTTTTTTTGATTTTTTGTTGCCCAATGGCTCAAATAATTCTCCATTTTTCTACAACAGTACACTCTTTAGGTCTTTTAATGAGGAAGATATCATCGTTTTTTACGAATTTAACAAGTTTTCGTTTAGATTCGTGGGCACGCTATTAGTGTCTCGGCTATGAAAGATCGCGTGAAGCAAGAGAGAAGAAAGTAGAAGGAGGCGCGGAGCATCTTAAATTTGAGCTTTATTTAGACGCCATGCATTCCATGATTTCTGTACAGAATGATCTCAGTTTATCCAGATTTAAGTTATCAATTTGCATTTAGTTTTACCTTTAAAGAGCAGCTGAGTTTTCTTGTATTACCTTTATAGCGGCCAATTTTTATTTTTATGATTTATCGACGGGCCGTTGGTAAATACGGGAATATTGCTGTTCCTCTCGCTTAGGATTGGTCCTTGCATAAATTTATATATATTTGGATTATTTTGACCATTCCTTACCGTGTGCAATCTTAAGTTCCTATTTTTTTACGGAACAAGTCTTTTTCTTTGTGCAATTTTAAGTTTTACACTTACCGACTCTCATGAGCTTTGTTTTGTAGATTTTGTTTTTTCGCTTTTTTGTGTATTCGTACACAATCATTTATTGCAGTTTTCGTCCTACTTAAGAATATCGATTTTTACATAAACTTTTACATAAACTATCTTGTTTTGTTCTAATTTCCCACTTGTTTGTCACAAGATCTGTACCTATACAACGAGTACCTTTAGAAGCCAAATAATGTATTGTATTTTTGTAATCTTGTAATTTCAGTATACTATTGAAATATAATAACGATACTTAATAGAATTTATTGTTCTAAACTTGAATATAATAATGAATTAGAATTAAAGGTTTAAAGTTTCATTTGCATACTAAGGCAGGATAACATACTGATTCCATCTGAAAAATTAAAATTATATTGAAATATTTGGTAAACCTAATATGGAGGTTTCCTGTTAGTATAAATTGTACGAAGATTGAAGATAGGAAGTCAGGGAAGGAAAACAGCTAGTCGAGCAAAGAGAAGGATGAAGTCAGGGGCGTATAAAAGGATTCTAGGGGGGGGGGTAACAATTTTTTACACCCTAAATATTTTAGGGGAGAGGAGGATAGAATTGGGGCGAGTGGATTGATTAGGGAAGAGAATGATTGAGGAGAGGCGAGATACATGGGTTAAGAAGAGAAGGATCGAGCATGGGAGAGGAGACTTGTGTAAGGGGAAGAATGATAGAGCAGGATTGAGAAAAGAGTTGAGAATTATGGAGCAGGAGGAAGGGAAGACGAGCATTGAGAATAGGGAAGAGAGGGATTGAGAAGGGGAGGGAAGAATGAATTATAGAAGAGAAAGATGGAGTAATTGGGGAGAGGAGGTTGGAGTAGGGATAAGAGGGATTGAGAAGGGGAGGGAAAAATGAATTAGGGAAGAGAAAGATGGAGTAATGGGGAGAGGAGGTTGGAGTAGGGAAGAGAGGGATTGAGACGGGGAGGAAAGAATGAATTAGGGAAAAGAAAGATCGAATAATGGGGAGAGGAGGTTGGAGTAGGGAAGAGAGGGATTGAGAAGGGGAAGGAAGGATGAATTAGAGAAGAGAAAGATGGAGTAATGGGGAGAGGAGGTTGGACTAGGGTAGAGAGGGATTGAGAAGGGGAGGGAAGGATGAATTAGTGAAGAGAAAGATGGAGTAATGGGGAGAGGAGGTTGGACTAGGGAAGAGAGGGATTGAGAAGGAGAGGGAAGGATGGATTAGGGAAGGGAAGGATGGATTAGGGATTGAAGCGAATAATAATAAGTCTGAGAAAGAGGAATTTATTCATTGATTACCAATTTTGGTTACTCGTTGCGGCATATAAACATCAAGGTGAGACAAGGCTAAATATTGCTCACTAAAAATTCGAAACATATATTTTGTAAATGAAATATTTTTACAAATACAAATAATATTTTTTCAATTTAAGGTTTTATGAAACCTTTTTTGGCTTTTTAGCCACACGCAAAAAACTGCATATCCGTAGTCCGTATGTTTACATTCTAAATTTTTACCACTGCACGTCTACACACGTACTTTTCTCTTTAAACGCACACATAATATATGAACCCCCAATAACTCCATTAACCAAATTATGTTATTTAAATTTTTACAATTTTAATTAAGTTACTTTCTTTTGCAGATATGGTTGAATTATATTATAAAATTTAATTTCAACGTGAACAAAATGAATCCTTTAATTGTTGGACTTCTGAAAATTTTAAGGTAAAATGTCCTAATAAGATTTGTTAATTGTATAATAATGCTGTTTTTTATTCTGTTATTGCAGGATCATTGTTTATATTTAATGGCCAATGTTTACTAATTCCAGACTGATGGTTGATTTTGTGTCAGAAATAATATTCTTCTGTTTTCATGGTTCAACAAAACCCCTTCCTCCCCTCTCTAGTCCCCTCCTTCTAGACTCAGCTACTGTGGTTGCAAGAAAAATCAGGTAAATGATCATATACTTAAACCCACCCAACCCATTTTTGGGGGGTCCAAAAATATGAACTTAGGATGGATTGTATGAACTAAGGATGGATTGTATGAACTAAGGATGGATTGCATGAACTAAAGATGGATTGTATGAACTACGGTTGGATTGTATGAACTAAGAATGGATTGTATGAACTAAGAATGGATTGTATGAACTAAGGATGGATTGTGTGAACTAAGGATGGATTGTATAAACTAAGGATGGATTGTATGAACTAAGGATGGATTGTATGAACTAAGGATGGATTGCATGAACTAAGAATGGATTGCATGAACTAAGGATGAATGGTATGAACTTAGGATGGATGTTATGAACTAAGAATGGATTGCATGAACTAAGAATGGATTGCATGAACTAAGGATGGATTGCATGAACTCATGATGGATTGTATGAACTAAGGATGGATTGCATGAACTTAGTATGGATTGTATGAACTAAGGATGGATTGTATGAACTAAGGATGGATTGTATGAACAAAGGATGGATTGTATGAACTAAGGATGGATTGCATGAACTAAGGATGGATTGTATGAACTAAAGATGGATTGTATGAACTAAGGATGGATTGCATGAACTAAGGATGGATTGTATAAACTAAACTAAGGATGGATTGTATGAACTAAGGATGGATTGTATGAACTAAGGATGGATTGTATGAACTAAGGATGGATTGTATGAACTAAGGTTGGATGTTATGAACAAAGGATGGATTGTATGAACTAAGGATGGATTGTATAAACTAAGGATGGATTGCATGAACTAAGGATGGATTGTATGAACTAAAGATGGATTGTATGAACTAAGGATTGATTGTATGAACTAAGGGTGGATTGTATGAACTAAGGATGGATTGTATGAACTAAAGCTGGAATTGTATAAACAAAGGATGGATTTTATGAACTAAAGATGGAATTGGATGAAGTTATGAACAAAGGATGGTTTGTAATCTTTATCAAGGAGTATGATATATATATATATACATATACTAAGATTTTTTATTTTTTTGATTAAAAATTTTCCTTTTAAAATTTGTTTGTCCAGGGAGAGAAAGATTACAAGTGTTGAATGTGTGAGAGTTGTAATAGATCGTATACGTGAGATAGATGCTATTCTAACCTGTGTTGTGGACTCCAGATACGAGGATGCAATCAGGTTAAAAATAAAATTTCATCATGAATTTGTCACTTTCAAAACTTTTGTTGCACATTTTTTATTTTGTGTTAATTTTTTTATCGTAGAAATTAACGCTTTTGAGAATGATTAAAATGAATATTCTTTCAATCAACTTCATTTATGATAATTCATCCAAAAATATAATATTTAATATAGCGACATAAAAATAAAACACAATTATTTTGCTGTAAACTATTAATAAAGATTTTTTGCAATTATCTTGTCAATCAATAGGACTTTAAGAAACTATATCAGGGAGGCCGGTGAAGTTGACCTCCAGCTGGCCAGTCTCGGACCTCAAGAGTTGGAGGAATTGAAAATATCTAAACCATTCCTAGGCGTTCCATTCTCATGCAAGGTAACATTTATGATTTCCCATCAGATCTTAAGTTTTTATTTATTTCTTATTTGCAGAAAAAAAGATAATTTTCTCCCCTTTAAAGAGAACTTAGAGTACCTAGGTTTATGAATCCATGAATTCTGCTAGATATAATAAACAAAGCTTGAAATTTTATAGGTTTACCCTTATAGTATCCTCTAGACTTAAAGATAATAAAATCTTAAAGAATTTGAGGCAAGCTTGAATTCCATTATTTAAAATTTAAGATATATATAAATTTTTGAGAAAATATTTGAAGTTTATTGAATTAAAATCTAGATAATTAAACAAGACATTATGTTGCGTATAGCCGGCCAAACGTCTGGACTCATGGGTGGTCGGAGGGTGTAGAAAAAAAGATTTCAAATTTTTTTCCACAGGCAACGCCGAGCCCTTCAGCTATTTATTATTATTATGATACAATTAAAACCCAACTTTTGAAATTTAAATTTTTGACGTATCACCCAAATCTTCAGGATTGTTTCTCCGCCAAGGGGTTATCTCACACAGCCGGTTTATATCTCAGGTTGGTTGCAAATCTCACTCTTCTTTAGCTTATCCACTCAAATCTTTCCCATTACAAACCGACCTAATCAAATCCATCCCAATCATTTTTTTAAAATTTGTTTTAATCTTTTTCAACACAGTTTAGATCACGCACCATTGAGTGATCGATTAATTGATCAATTTATTCGATGCTTATTTGTATAAATTCAATATAATTCCAATAAAATATTTGTTTGAAAGGAAGGATATTAAGGGAGAATACGATGCTCCTGTAATTGAAAGAATGAAAAATGCAGGTAAATTTATTTCCAAAAGAGAAAACACAATCACAGAGCTGATGTCGTACTTACAATCTACTGTTTCCTATTCAGCCACTACAAGAGTCCTTAATAGTATAACTCAGGGTGTATATAATTCCATTTTTTTTATTATTCTTTTCCTCCCCTCTCTGATTTTTTTTATTTCCTTCCCCAAATTTGATTACTTAAAAGATTTGTACTGCAGTGCATAATAAACCCCATAGGGATGCATTTTGCATAGATGGCGACACAGACAAATTTTAAAAACTTTTGGTATGGTTGTACTGGCAAAGAAGTTTTGATAGATTATTTGTTAGCCCAGGAGTATTTTTGTTTCATTGAAATCATTTCCCATAAATTCTCAAATTCTCATAAAATAAAATTTGCTTGTTCTGAATGTGTGCGAGTAGCGCAAATTTTTTTAATATGTTTGACTATTTGGGAAAATTATTTACTAAGGGGGTATTCTTTTATCATATGTTTTAATGAAATTTTGCGCGGAGGGCGAAAAAATTTTATAACGTTTTTTTATGGTGTATAACTATGGGAAAAATTATTTGTGAAAAACTGTCTGGTTTCAGAGAAAGTTAGTTCCTTCATTATCTGTCAACCTTCCATCAATTTTTCCCTTCCCCTTCCCTTCAATCCCATACATTCTCCTTCTACTTCCCTACTTTTCCATTCCCTACCTAACTTTTCCATTCCCTACCTAACTTTTCCCATTTCCTGGCTTTCTTTTCCCTTCCCTACCTTCCTTTTCCCTTCCCTACCTAACTTTTCCCATTTCCTGGCTTTCTTTTCCCTTCCCTACCTTCCTTTTCCCTTCCCTACCTTCCTTTTCCCTTCCCTACCTTCCTTTTCCCTTCCCTACCTTCCTTTTCCCTTTCCTACCTTCATTTTCCCTTCCCTACCTTCCCTGTCACCTTTGTAGTTCCCTAATCCCTATTTTTGTCTTTCTCACTCACCCTACCTCTGTCGCTCTCAACCTTCACGTTTCCCTAGCACTCTTCCTCCTTTCCCTATCGAACTTCCTTTTCCCAACCCATCCCTTTCTTCTATCGTTTCACTTTCCTTTTTTCCCCTTTTGCTTCCCCTTTTGCTTCCCATTTTGCTTCCCCTTTTTTTCCCTTTCTCCTTCCCTTTTCCTTCATCTTTTCCTTCCCCGTTTCCTTCCCCTTTTCCTTCCCTTCCTCTTCTCTTGGGTCTTTGATTTCTTTCCTTCCCAGGGGGGAGGGGGGAACAATTTTATACTCTCCTGGATAACTTTAATTTAGTTAAACAATTCCTTCATACATCTTACATTTACCCCTCGAGATTCAGTTGTTTATAATCAAAATTCTTGTTTTGTATTTAAAGATTCCACTGGTTTTAAAATGATATTCTAGGGGGTATACTGGTATGTGTTTCCAATGTATCTGAGATGTGTATGTGGTGGGAAGCAAGTAACAAGGTTACAGGAAGGACCTGTAACCCGTACCATACAGGTAGCATATACTGATTGATTTATTAATTGATTTATTGATTGATTAGTTGATTGCTTAATTGATGATTAGTTGATTGATTAATTGATTGATTGATTGATTAATTGTTTAATTAATTGATTGATTAATTGATTAATTAATTGATTAATTAGTTGATTGATTTTGATTCAAGTTCAAATGTCAAACATGTAATACTTCAATGATTTTTTTTATATATATATATAAATAGATATTATAATCAAACGTCCACCGTTCCGTTCTCAAATAAATTACATTTTAAGTTAGAGTGATTGATTGATGATTTTAGATTTAATGCATAATTGATTGATTGATCAGGACGGACAGCTGGAGGATCCTCAGGGGGAGAGGGTTGTTTAATAGGAGCAGGATCAACTCCTCTTGGGATTGGATCAGATGTTGGTAAACATTGAACATACATTTATGGGTTCAAATACAAGTATTTTTCTGAAAAATTATATTTAGGTGGTTCCATTCGGATGCCATGCTTCTTCAACGGAATATTCGGGCACAAGCCATCCACTCGCATTGTTCCAAATACTGGTGGACTTCCTGAGGCTCATGGGAAGCATGAAGATTATCTTGTCACCGGTCCTATGTGCCGGAACGCTGAGGACCTGATCCCGATGCTCTCTGTCCTTGCTGGACCAGAGAAGACGAGATTGCTAAGGTTGACGGACGAGGTTAAGATAAAAAATTTAAAATTTTACTTTGCCGAGGATGATGGAGGGTTCCCTCTTGTATCTCCGGTTCATCCTGAGCTCAAGGTTGCACAGAAAAACTTTATCGCAGGGTTTAAAAGAGAGTTTAACATACAGGTGGAAAAAGTGAAGATTGATGAATTATACCATTCCCTAGGAATCTGGATGAACAGCATGGCATCGGAGAAGAACAGACCCTCGTTCTGCTCCGACCTGGCGGACAACAAGGGAGCAGTAAACCCCTGGCTCGAGATGTTCAAATGGATCTTGAACATCTCCAAGCACACCTTGCCTGCATTACTGCTCGGAATGTCAGAGAAGATGATAAACACAACCTCAAAGGAGCATCTTAAATGCGTCGAACTTGGGGAAAAGTTAAAAATTAAGTTGAACGAACTTCTTGGAGAAAACGGAGTCTTAATCTATCCTTCACATTCAACCCCAGCTCCGTATCATTCTCAACCTATCCTGAAATCCTTCAACTTCTCCTACACTGCCGTGTTTAATATTCTAGGGGTTCCTGTGACCCAGGTTCCCCTTGGAGTAGGCTCCTGGGGGGTTCCTTTAGGCGTTCAAGTGGTTGCCGGTCTTAATATGGATCGGAACTCTTTAGCGGTAGCCCTTGAGGCTCAGAGGATGTTTGGAGGATGGTTTCCACCTGCCCCTGTTCTCTAATGATTGTATATTTTCTTAATTCTAAGAGATTTTCAACGTATTTTGAAGCATCCTTAAAAAAGAGTTCCTGTTTTTTCATCTGTTTTTTAGATTAAGGATGCGTTAACTGTTGAACATCACAAATGGAATCGCTCAAATTTACGTTGGCAAATGACAATCACATCAAGTTCCATTTTTCCATTCTAATTTTCTTCTTTATTAACTTATTTTATGTTTACTTGCCAACTTTAATTCTTTGTTTTTCCTAAAAATGTTAGTTGCCATTTTTATGGGCTGTGACGATATGATGTTCAAATGAATACACAAAATTATATTTGATAAAACAAGCCTAATCAAATTATACTCCTTTTATGTGATTATAACTTTAAACCAGATATCTCGTATCTATGCAATTTACCGGTGTGACACTGTGATATTTATTTGACAACCAGGAATAACTTGATTCTGATAATGATTCTATTCTAGTCTACACTTGTTACAACAATCCACGAAAACCTGATTTGTAGTGATTTTGTTATTGATTGTTAATCTTAATTTTAAAATTTCAGACAAGATGTCCGGTAGAATAGGTTTCGGGTCTATGCGTGCTTGTCTGCGCGTTTTTTGTGTGCTTATAATGGTCGGAAGATCGTTCGCCTGGGACAATGACGAGATGGACCTTTTCGACCTGGTCGAGGAGGTTAATAGGTAAACATTTCTGATTACAGGGGATATTTTTTATCCAAAATCCCTCCCCCACTTTTAAAGATTGATTTTCCTCCGAACATAAAAAAAATATATTTTCACAAAAAAATGTTAGAGCTTTTTTATTGCCGAACTTGGAACAATAAATGAATTTTTGTTTAAAATTTATCTGGAATGCTAGTTGATGTCCAATTTTTTATCAATATTTTTTATAGATCTCTTTTAATATATTCCTTGTTTCAGGAATTTCTATGAATTTATGGAACTATCGCCGGAAGCAACTACCACTGAAGTGCGTAAAGCGTATAAAACCAAAGCACTGGTCCTACATCCGGACAAAAATGACGCACCTGACGCAGAAGTGCAGTTCAGGTAAAATATTCAACTTATTTTAAAATTCTAATATCTATAAATATCTCTTTGTAAGTAGTGTGCACGGTTCTTTCCAGCTAGAAATATTAAAAATATTTTGATTGTAATTTTGAATATTAATGAAAAATAACTATTAAGGCACTTGGCCGCTATCTATGAGGTGCTGAAGGATAAGGAGAGACGAGCTATGTACGACCGTGTACTAGTCGAAGGACTACCGGACTGGCGTATGCCCGTTTACTACTTCAGAAGAATGCGCAAGATCGGACTTGCAGAGGGACTTGCATATCTGCTAGGTATAGAATATATGTGCTCATTTTTACCTATAGGAGACCAGGTAATAACTACAAACATAAGAGCGAGCATGAACTCTTTCTCTTCGGCTCACCTCTATTTGCACTGATTAAATCTTATGTATATATTTCAGGTAGGCAGTTTATACAGGACTCAACCGTGAACTGAAAACACAATAAATCAGTCCAGGGTTAATTAATTTTACAATAAAACAGAATTCTAGCCTTTAAAAATAAAACTTTCTCCAGGTAAAACATTCAATTTTATATAACAAATACTTAATTTTAAATAAATAGAAAAATTCACTTACAATGTTGATTTGTCCGGAGGTTTGTAGCCTTTAGTGTTTAGAATGCACCACAGTCTCGGGTACAAGAACTAAATATGAGCTTTATAGAGTTGAGTTGAGATCTTTATGTGTATCTTCAAATATCCTTCTCAAGTTTTAACTTTCTCACAGAGATCACAAGAAGTGTGATTGAGACTAGTACCTGTATTTGATCTAGAGGAGCTTAGATCAGGGAAACAGAGTAATCATTCCATCGGAGATACCATAGAACAAGGAAACAACCAAGCCAAGGTTGTAGGAGGTCTGGTACCTAGAGATGGAAACGTCTCTAGGATACTACCAGAGGAAGCGTAGAGGATTATGCAAGCGTCCCAAAGACACAGGAACACTCGGACTCCGTTGAGACTGGAGTCTTGTATACGTAGAGATCCAAAGACACAGGAACTCTCGGACTCCGTTGAGACTGGAGTCTTGTATACGCAGAGAATTCATGACCCACCCAAGGCACAGGGGGTCAAGATTATTAGGTGAGAGTAGAGTAGAGCATCTGCATCCCAGAGACCAAGGATGCAGATAGGTTTAGCTCCGCGAGCCAGCGGAGAGGACTGAACCATCTCAGGAAGAGAACTGAACCATCTCAGGAATCAAACACACAGGGGAGACATCTGCATGTTGAAGAGGAGTGGAACTTATCCGCGAGTCAGCGGAGTAAGTCAGGTTACATATCAACGGGACTCAGAGCCAGCCTAGCATAAGAGTTGTTGAAGTGGTTGTGAGAATTCAGGATAATTTGTAAGCTCAACTTTTAATGTTCATAATTAATCACCTGGAGCACGGAACTTTTGAGGGAGGAATTACAATTATCACAACAAATCTATACATATTATATAAACCATCCGTTAGAAAAGAGTCAATCAATATGGAGTAAAAGTTTCCATGTGAACATTTAAATCACGGATGATTTATAAACCTGGAGAAAGAGAATGAAACCAAGTGGGAGGGGTACAACTAACCCATCTTGGTCTGAAAGACAAGACCTATTATTAAAACTAAAGTGGCTAGACTTTTAAGCATTTAAAAACTTATCGACAATTCTGTTTTAAGACATGTACGATAGTAGAAAATTAGACTCAATTTCAAGAATATAAAATAGGCTTCAGAAAGGTTTACATCAAAATCTTAGATTGGTAGTTTGAATGGTAAGATAGATAATGGTAGATTCAATGTATTTGTAGAGATTTGCAGGATTAGTTGCTTGAAGATAGGGGTTCTCTGTAGGACAAGCTGGAGAACTTCTCGACTTTGAACACCCTGAACACACATTAGTTTATAAAGATCCACAGATCTTACAATATACAATATTTACTGGATTTCATATTCCTCAGTATTTCTGTGAATTAAAATTCTAAGAAAATTTGCTTTAATTCTGAAGCTTTTGAGATAGAAAGGCGGGAGGGTGTGTGAAAAAATTAAAAAAATTAATTAGCAAATGGTCCCCTTCATGTGAATATTTTTACCCAAAAACTAATTCATGAACACTTTTTTTTTACAAAATCTCAAAAACATCTTGAACGTTTTTACTCCGTTAAATATAGGAAAAATTATTTTAAATAATTTTTCTTAAAAATATACTTCCCCTGCTAACAACTCCCTTTATTATTCAGTGATTGCAACGCTGATCCAGTATTGCATGAACTGGGCTGCCCACTGGGAACGGAAATTCACAATTTCTGAAAATATTTCTGCGGAGGTAAAGCGGAGGCAGAAAAGGTTGAAGAAGGAGGGGAAATCGGAGGAAGATATCGCCGAACAGGTTGGTGTTTATTTTATACGCAATTGTTTTATTTAATTTAGGCTAGGAAAAAATAATGCAATTAACAAACTACAGAATTAGGCAAAAAGATGAAATTTAGAAAATAGAAAAAGCTAAACTTTCTATAAAAGAAAACAAAAAAAGGAATGAAAATTAAAACAGGATTAAAAAACCCGGGGTTTTTTTTCAAAAAAAAAAACCAAGCCCAGCTTGGGTTTAATTTTTAATTTTTTTTTAAATTTTTGGGTTATTGTTATATTGTTCTGGTTTCGCTTAGATACCATTTTTGGTAATTAAAAGCGATTCTTAAAATTGATATTTTCACTATATATGCTCTGAATTTTTCACATGATCATCGTAACTGTTCTTGAAAATGTTTTAGACTCTTTAAAGTCTGGCAAACTGGTTTTATTGGTTTTTTATTTGGCTTTTTTGGGTTTTTTTCAATTTGAAAGTAGTTGAAACCTACTAAAATTTAAAATAATAAGACTACTTAAGCAATAGGTGAATTTTATAGTTAGTAAAAATGATAATATTGTTGGGCTATAATCATAATAAATACTCTTTAAATACAATAATATCACCTCCCTTCTTCATAGCGGGTCTTTATAGGGGAAATACTGCAATTTTTCTATATTATAGTTCTATGAAGTTATTTTTTCACTTGGATACATATTTCTGATTGGGGGTGGGGCTACTCAGATTAATCGGTAGATATTTATATGCTCAAGAACCAAGAAGGAAGACCACTGTAAAATACCGAAAAACTTGGCACACATATAAGAATGATAAAGGGATTTTATATCCTTATTCTATCGCAACATATTTTAAAAACTCATGACAAAAGAATAAATGTGTAAGTTTTAGTGCTGTAAACTACCTGAAAATCAATATAGTTGATAGTAGACATTTATCATTATAAGTGTGAGAAAAGGGCAATAATTAGAGAAATGAAAAAAAAAACAATAAAACCCAAAAAAGTCCACTTACAGGTGGGTTTTTGAAATGGGTTTTATTGGTTTTTTGGGTTGTTTTTTTAGGCTGGGGTTTTTCTTGTCAACCCTGTTGAAACGGCTGAACCTTGATATATTTGCATTTCAGTACAGGGAAGTTGAGTTGAATTTGTTGGGTGAAGCCCCCACCTACCAGGATACTCTCCCATTCCAGATATTCAGGCTGGTCAAATTTATCGTCCTCGCCATACCAACCATCCCAGGTTAGCATTTATTAATAATTAATGTTAAGGTATGAAAAAATCAGATAACAGAACTTTAGAATATTAAAAACTGATTAAAAAACAGGGCAAACACTTTTTTGCTAAATAAACAAAGTACCTTAAAATGTGTTTCTTTTTTACCCTAATTTTTTATCTCTTCACAAAATTTCTTAACAAATTGCTTTGAAAAAGTAAAAAGATTTCCAGGAAAATTTAGCCCCAAACGGAAGATTAACCCCCCCCCCTCTCACTAATTTTTTCATGAACTTCTGAACTTATTCATAAAAAGCTTACATAAATATTTTTTGAATATTAAGCTGGGTTGTTGCTGACAAAGATACGAATAATTTCTGAAAGGGACTGAAAGCGCAATTGTAACTTGCAAGTGACCCTCCATGCAAAGATGACAATGGTCGATGTCCATCAATACCTTTACATAATAAACTGTGAAAGACATTGTCGTTTTTTTAAGGGCAGTTTAAATTGCACCCCGCGACCCCCAGGTTTACGTACGAGAGGAGGTAGAATATATGGAAGCTTAAGCCTGTGCATAATTGCACCCCGCGACCCCCAGGTTTACGTATGTAAGGAGGTAGAAGATGTGGAAGCTTAAGCATGTGTATAATTGCACCCCGCGACCTCGAAAAGTGTTCATTTCTGCGAGATTCTCCATTGGTTTTTATAATCTAGGAATGTGCAAGCCGCAAATCACTTTTGTTAAGAGAAACCGCAAAGGAAAATGAGCAGTTATATGGAGATCTAATTCATAATTGATCAAATAAAACTTTCAAGGGTACAGTGTTAAATCGGACATTGCCATCTTTGCACAGAGAGTCACTTAAAATGACGCTCATGGTCACTTTTGTCTAAAAATATTTGCTGTTCAGGACATATCCGTCAACATTTGGAGGACAAGAGAGCTGAACAGGAGGAGCAAGAGAGGGTGGAGAGGGAGTACGAGGAGGAGAAGAAGAGGAAGGAGGAGGAGAAAGAGAAGAGAAAAGAGCACAAGGCGAAAAGGAAGAATGTAAACATGTATAAAGAAGGAAAGAAAGAAGAGACAAAAGGTATTTTGATTTTTTAATTTGGATTTTTGTTTCATTGTTGCATTTTAAAAACTTTTAATTTGGTTTCAGTTGCGGAAAAGGATGAGGAAGTAAAGATTGTTCCAAGGAACGCGCAGCAAATGTGGACGGACGACGACCTCGCTACGCTTGCAAAGTACATTAAGAAGTTCCCTGGGGGGACAACAGACAGGTTAGAAGCAGATCAAATATTTTTCACGATAAACAAGGTTTTCTTGGGAATACTATGATGCATATGGGGGGAAAATACTGCAACATGCTTCAAAAAGATAATTTTTTCCCCAAGGTTTATTAAATTCAGTAAAAAAGACATATATTGTAATACATGTTGCATATAACATATAATTAGGACATTGCATCGGTATTATTTGTAATGCAGTTCGGCCTTTGGATTACTGATTGGGGGGTTTCAAAAATCTTATTATTATTTTGATGAAAACTTTAGTTTCTTATTTAAAGGCACAATCCGGAAAATTTTATTTTTAAAAATATTTCTTGCACAGGTGAACCCGTTCCAGCCCAGTCTATTCATCACTTCATCAACAACTGGATGGTGTTATATCCTTATTGTTTAGGATTCAAATATTTTTACCTAAATTTATTTTATCTTATTTAAATAATAGGAAGTTTAACAAACTGGCTCAGTTCTTTTATTAAAATTCCATTTATGCTCGAGACCCAAGTAACCTAGGATGATCATTTTAGGAAAGTATTAAAAGTCTTCTGTGTGTTTCTTTGATTGAGCCAGTTGTTAGCCATGATAAGCCGGGAGGTGCCGACCATAGCACTAACGATCGGGATGTGCTTCTTCGAGCAAACTCTGTCCTTTTTACAGGATTGAATCCTGGGTACCTTTACGTTAAGTAAAAGGTTTTTTAAATAAATCTTATTAGGGAATGTTTAAGCCTAAAGGTTGACAAAATTTTTTTTTATATACACATTTTATCAAAGCTAATTTATTTTATTTATTATCACCACTTCAGGAAAGTTTTGAAAGTTTACATATTTGTATTATAAAGATGGGAACGGATTGCTGAGTTGATGGAAAGGTACAGCTGGGAGGTGACGAAAATGGCGGGGATGATAAAAATCAACCCTGGCCTCGTCAAGGAGACGGCCGGACAAGGAGTTACAGGACGGTGAGATAGTTTTCGCTTTGGTTTGTGTATTGTTTAATTCTTCTTATTTTTTCCACGTTTCTATCCATTAACTTAGATTAAAGATTTAATTATTACTTTTTTTAGAGAATCGTCGAGATTGATTGGCGACGATGTACTTGAAGAGGGAGTTGCGGAGGAGGACGAGGATGATGAGGAGAGTAATGACGAGGATTCAGAGGAGATAGACGAGGACGGTTATATCGTCTACTCACCACAGAAGGTTAGCAATTATTATAACTCATTGATTTAATTATTGATCTGAAGCGATAGTTTGATTAATATTGGGTCGATTTTGATTTTTCATTTTATTAGATCAGTTTTTTTTGTAAAATTTTTCATTTTTGTAGACGAGTTTTGAAATTGCTAGTTACGTAATTACTAATTGCATCATGTCAATAGAAAAACAGACAATGAAAATCTAAAATATATTTTTCTACTTTCTGTTAAGGTGGTGAATATACCCGTAGTTGAGGAGAAGAAGAAGAAGAAGACCAAGGCCGTGGAGGTTGAGGGCGGAGCGGAGGATGAATCAAGTTGGTCTCAAGATCAACAGAAAGCATTAGAAGCAGCCCTTGCACAATTCCCAAAGGTAAGTGCCATTTTTCCAAGGCACACACTATTTGTCATAGATACCATTTGTCAAAGGTAAATCAAACTAAATAATTTCATCCTTTAAATTCTTTGAATGTATTGACTATTTGAGATTTTTACTACATTTGATTGACAAAATCAATAATTAAGCTATATAGTTCAATTAATTAGCGATGATTGATTAAGTGATCAGAATGAACATTACTAGATTAAACGATTAGTTTATTGGCGCCTGTTAGTGCTTTGATTTTTTCATAATTTAATCTTAAACCATAAACAAAATCATATATCAATTTGGCTTGTCTGTCTGTTTGTCTGTTTGTTTGTATCCAATAAACGTCAAAACGGCTGAACCGATCGGGCCCAAATTTTTTGTGGTCATCTAGGGACCTCAGGGAAGGTTTATGAATGATCAAAATTTTAAATATTTGTCTCGATCAAAATTCGATCTTCATTAAATTTTTAAAAATTTTGAAAATCCACGAAATTTTTTGTGAAAATCCGCGAATTATTTTTGTTTTGTTTTACGATGTAAGTTTATAATTAATCTATTAATTTAGGGAAGTTCTGAACGATGGGAACGAATAGCAGGAAAGATTCCTGGAAAGACGAAGGATCAATGCATGGCCAGATTTAAACACTTGGCGGAGATAATCAAGAAAAAGAAGGAGACAGCTGCTGAGTAGAAATTTGAGGCGGAAATGTCCGCCGTGAAGCATTTTAATGCGGATAATATAGAAATATTTTTTTAACTGTTGCAAAGATTAGAATCATGTTTAAATTTATAATTGTCAGCTGTCATTTTGTAATTTTGACAGCTGTTCATATTTGTTAGACGTCAGCTGTTTTATGTACTTCATGTACTGTACACAGAATCATTGATCTGTTAATTGTTATAATTAGATGTATACATGAGTATAAGATTTCCTGGGAAGAAGTTTGGACTGCAGAAATTAAACTGTTAAGGTTTTTTATATTTTGTATTCTCTAGTCTTCCGTTTTTCTATTAAGCTAAAATTTTAGTAAATGCAAGACATTTTGTATTAGTTGGTTGCAATCCTAATCCACCAATTCGTTTTTTTTAAAATATAGTTTACATTGTCCGGTGAGAAGGTGGTTTCCATTCAATATATCATAATCGATAAGAATAAGTTTTAAGTAAAGTAATGATTAATTATGGCACGATTTGAAACAAAATTTTGAAGCAAGAAACAAAATTTTAAAATAAAGTTTATAGAAATTTAAAGGATTACAAGTTTTTACCACATTGGTTGTTTACAAAAATAGAGAATTGATTTTTTTCGTATTTCACTTCAAGGGATTGTTCGCTTAACGTGAATGTTCACTTAAAGGGATAGTTCGCTTAACGTGAATGTTCACTTTTAATGTTTGCTCACTTAATGGGATTGTTCGCTTAACGTGAATGTTCACTTTTAATATTTGTTCACTTAAAGGGATTGTTCGCTTAACGTGAATGTTCACTTTTAATATTTGTTTACTTAAAGGGATTGTTCGTTTAACGTGAATGTTCACTTTTAATGTTTGTTCACTTAAAGGGATTGTTCAATTAAAGGAATCTTTCATTGAACTGAAAGGGACTGATCACTTATTCGAAAGTAAATATTAATAAACACACGAAATAAATTATCAATATTTTATTTCGTCTTTCTGACCAATATCCACAAAATTTACATCACCGACGCATAAAAATATTTATCATTTTTAAATATCTAATAAAAATTGTAAAATTCTGATATGATGTGTTTCCCTGGACCTTATTTTAAATGGAACTCCCAACTATTTTTTTTAATATGATCCTGTCCTTTTTGTTACTTTTATATCCGGTTTTTGTTCAAAATCTATAAATTCCTGAATTTTTTCAGACAACGAAATGTCCTGCTACGGATGCACTAAACCGTTTGGAATATTAAACAGGTTTGTATCGTGCAGACAAAACTATGAAATGCATGATAGAATATCAATTTATTGACGTTAAAACAATCAATAATTGAAACAAAAAATAATTTTGACTGATAAAAAAATTTCTTAAAAATTCCTTATTGTTGAAAGCGTTTTGATTCCGAAAACTTGGCAGACGCTGAACTCCAACTTTCGAGTGTGCGAGGTGGGGAAGACTTCACTGCCGCGCTTAATTAAAAGCATGATTAAAGGGGGATGACATTTGTAGATCGAGATTGAATCCTACCCGTAGCGCTCGGCCCAGAAAGTGTCTTAACTTAACCTAACCCGTGGTCGCAGCTGCTCGGCCCAGAAAGTGTCTTAACCTAACCTAACCCTAAATAAATACTAATTTAATTGAAAATTGTTGAAAAAGTGGTCATATACCAAAGTAAAATCTGCAGTGAAGTCTTCCCCACCTCGCACACTCTAAGGTTGAAGTTCAGCGTTTGCCGAAAACTTTGATTTGATGCATAACAATGCACATATACCAAGTATTTATGTCTGATTGCGTGAATCTGTGTTTTTATTTCAATCTGTAGGGAGCATGGTTGTGGAAACTGTGGGTTTGGTTTTTGCTCAGCCTGCCTCAAATACAGGGATAATTGATAATTATCATAAATAGTGATAACCAGAAAACTGTTAAGTAGGAAGACGACAATAAAGCAATACTGAAGTGCATTTGATGTTATTACTAAGCGAATACATTTTTCTAGTAAGTTATTACATGACAATTATTAAGTGAAATGGGTCTGTTTACACTGCACAATTGCTGTGCCTCATGGTCATTTGACTATTTCAAGTCATAACTTGAGTTTAAAAGTCGATTTTCTAGTCCAGAGTTTTCTGGTTATCACTGTAGATTTCAATAGGAAACATTAAGAAATTTTTATACTTTAAACTACAATCTATACTGTTGTCCAAGTGTTTATTTTTTAATGTTATGTTTTGACGTGGTAGCAGTAGTAAAAATCTCGTAAATTATCTTAAAATCAGAACGCTGGTCCCGGGTAAAGGCCCGAAAGATATAAAGGTTTGCGGAGCATGTTACACACTTGTGCGTAACCCTGCCGGAGTGGAGAAAGTTTACGCACCTCCGGCCGCTCTTCAGAAACGACTTGACGCACTTGAGCACCCGGGTGGAACCCCGGTCATCATTTATAAAGGAAATTGCACTTTTTGTAAAAAACTTGAAATTTTGCATGTCCAATTTTATTTCATTTTCATAAACATATATTTAACTAAATAGACTGAACAAGTACAGTGATAACCAGAAAACTCTGGAATAGGAAGCTTCGACTTTTAGTTTAAAATTATGACTTTTAAATTGTCATGAGGCACAGCAATTGTGCAGTGTAAACAGACCCATTTCACTTAATAACTTAAGGTATTTGCTTTGTAACAACATCAAATTTACTTTAGCATTAGCATTACTTAGATGTTGTCTTCCTATTCTACAGTTTTCTGGTTATCACTGTACTTACTTGAGAATAATATTTGATATGTTTGAATTTTATAATTTGTAAAAGAGCTGATAAAAGTCGTCCTTTGCAAGACAAGAACATTGACTAATGACTAAACGGATGATATCGAGAGTAAAAAAAAAAATATTTTTCTCCTAAACTTCTTTTATAGTTTTTACCTAAGTTTAATGTTCGAGTAGATAACCGGAAGATGGCATCTTTAAGAAAAGGATTATCCCAAGATGATCAGAAGATTGTTGATAGATTAGAGAAATTACAAAGGTATTAAAACAAAAAATTTTTCCTTTGAACTCAATTTATGCTGTAAAGAAACTTAGCCAAAGATAGGATTTTATCTGTGCATAATATTAATCTTTAAAGCTTTATCTTAATATTCAATTTGAGGATCAATGCTTGATCCCTCGACTAATGTTGTTCCTGCAGGTATAACCATCACGAGAAAACGAAGAGGAATTAAATTTATCTGTAAATCTGTAAAATTAAGATGGATCAATGCTTGATCCTTGTAAAATAATTTTTTTCTCTAATGAGGAAAATGAATGAATGATGTTCAGGATAATATATAAAAAAATTGAAATTTGACATTTTAGAGAACGGAAGGAAAAAACATCAATTCCTTCGGATACGGAACTAAGAGACCGCCTTTCCAAACTGAAAGGTAAGTAATGACTTATCAAGATTCATTTCCCTACAGCAGGGGCGGATATAAGGATTCTGTAATGTATTTGATCACCAGGCAGAGCTAAAAAAAATTACATTGTCTAGCTTAAGTTGACAAGGTTTTGCAAGTAATTATTTACGCCCCTGAATGTGATCTGCCTTTATTATATATTTTATCGATGTGAATAATATGGCAGTTCATTCTTTTGTTCAAACTTTGTTGGCTTGAAAAAGTTGTTATGTTTAAAATATTTTTTATATCTTGGTTAGCGATTTCGTTTTTTGACAATGCACAGTTGTAAACTAATTAAGGGTTTCAAAACTAAAGTCAACTGACAAAAAGAAATCTTTTAAGGTTTATATTTTCTCGAGAATTCGTACCCTTTTCCGCGGAAATACTCAGTAAAAGTTTAGGTGGGGAAATTTCGAGCAACAAGTTAGGTTTAGGTTTTTCATAAAGCATGGATTTTATTAAAGGAAACATTAAACTTTCAGAAAGTAAAAAAGTGTAAGTAAAAGCCAAAAAATTTAAAAACTGTTTTGATTATCTTCGATTATAAAGAATTAGCACAGATTATAAGACAAGTGATCTATGTTATATGTTAAGGTCAGAATTAAATTCATTTGATGTTTGAAATTTTAATACATAGTTTCTTTTTATCACAGCGTTGGATTTCATGTATTTGTTTTAATTGAACACTAGCTTGTTTTCAGCCTATTACATATATATATTGCATAAAAAATGTCAGTTAAATGTGAACTAACATATAATGATGCATTTCTCTGATTTATTGCGTTTAGATCAAATTTCTCAGAATCTTTTTTCTTATTTTTTTGTTATCAATAATCAATATTATTTTCTGATCTAATTTTAATTAACTTAATTAAAAAAAATATCCTTTTTTTAATTTATATAAGAAATTTTTCAGAATTTCTTATAGAAGACGACATATCCTTGTGTTGTGTTGAACCAAATGGCCGGGTCAAGAGTCCGGTATCTTAAGAGCGGTATTAGCTAATACCGCTCTAATACCACTCTTAACACTAACACCGGTGTTTAGGAAATAGTCAAAAAAAAGGTTTTATTTTACCAAGAGCATTGGATGTTGCACTCACCAGAAACCCAGAGAACTCAAATAGGGCAGAGGAGTTGAGGGAAGGAGTTATCAATAAGTTTGAAGATAACGCAAATGCTTTTTACAATTTTAAATGTTGTTCATTCTAAATTAATTTTAGATTTCCACAAACTTAACTGATCAAACATAGCTGTTAAAGTTTATAACTTTAGGTCTTTCTGAAGATGAATTATTCAAGATTTACAAGATAAGAAAATTCACGCACCACTCATCAGACTGCGTCCGAGGTTCTAATTGCATTGAGAGGTAAATCATATTTACGGGTTTCTTTGAGATTTGTTATTAATTAATCAAATGTTTAAATATCGATTTGTTGACATATAGAATACAAAGCTTTCAGGACGCTTCGCGCCCATTTTGTATTTCAATTGTGATCATTACACTATAAAACAAAAACAAACACAAAATAATTTGTGGATTTTCAAAGTTTAAATCTAGATTATATACATGCCTTATACATTTTTTATCATTGTTTCTCTCAAAAAATTAAACGTGAGGAATTATAAACAGTTTTTAATTGTACTCTGGCCTGGTCAAATTTTCGCGTGATGAGGAAAACATTACAAAAGAATATTTGCTTTGAGTAGATTTGTTCTAGAATATAATAGTTTATTTTAATAAATCAAATAACAGGTTATTTTTTCAAGTAAATCTCGCATTAACCGTAACTCTGTTCATACTGGACTTCAGCTGAGTACCTCTATCAAGGGAAAAGGAACTAAGTAAGAATCCTTTTTTATTATTACTGTTTTCCTAGTTCTGAATGATTTTGCTAGTGCAAGTTTATAACTGTTTTTAGGCTTTCTTTTCTTAAGCTTTTAAATATCAGTTTGCTTTTTTATTTTATATGAGTAAAACTAAAATTTTTAACAAAAATTGTATTGATTTCTTATTTATGAATAAATCGGCATTTTTTTTACCCAGATTGGTTTACAACGTACAGGATATGGTTAAGGAACTCAAGCTCAGCACAACTTGGATAGGAGTTTTCACTTTTATTCACATATATCTTAAATTGCTTAATTACACACAAAAAATTTCAAGTAAGAGTCGGACACTTTATAAAATGTTGGCATAGTCCAAAAGTTTTAGCAAAGATCTTCCTAACTTTTAACTCTTAGAATGTTAAGCAGTATTCTTAAGGGCTATTGATAAATGCTTTATAAAGAGTTTTTTAAAAATCTTCAAAAAAATCAAGAAAACCCAATTTAAAGAAGTAAATCACAAAATCATAATGCCTTTATTTTAGATTTGTAAATTTTAAAGTGTGTTTAAAATCTAAGTACTAGTATGTATTGTATATAGTATTGTATATATGTATGAAGCTTTTTTTTACAGATTGATTTAAAAGCAATGTAAGGACCGCTCCTGCTGAAGAAGTTTAAACCCTCTCATATGAACTGAACACAAGGACAATGAATGAAAAATTGAATTTTAATGGTTTTTTTTCAAAAATGGGATTTTTTTTAGAATTGGGTCTTTAACAGCGCAATTACAAGCTGTGCACTGTTATATATAACGTAGTTAAACANAAAAAAATTGTACGGATTGTACGGATTTGTTTTCGAAAATTGTACGGATTGTACGGATGGCTTCCGAAAATGTACGGATTTTTGTACGGATTGGTTCAAAAAAGTTTTGGCCACCCTGAAGATACTCTCTTAAATTTCCAGCTCTGTACACTTCAAATTGTACGGTTTCACTGCACAGTGTACACTGTACGGTTCAACATACTTTGCACCCAGACTTACAAATTAAATATTTAGGACTGATGAAGAGAAACGAAGAGATCTACTTGAAGGTATTCAGAAGGAAGTTGAAATAGATTCTAAAATTCTAACACCGGAACAGGATATTGCAATTAGGTGAGCTTATTAACCTCAGTACCTACCTAGTCTACCTAGTCTACATAGTCTGTCTAGTCTACATAGCCTACATTGTTAACCTAGTCTACCTAGTCTGCCTTGTCTACCTAGTCTGGATAGTCTACTTAGTGTACCTTGTCTACCTAGTCTACATAGTCTACATAGTCTACATAGTCTACATAGTCTACCTAGTCTACATAGTCTGCCTATCTGCCTAGTCTGGATAGTCTACTTAGTGAACCTTGTCTACCTAGTCAACCTTGTCTACCTAGTCTACCTAGGCTTCCTAGTCTACACAACCCTGATAGTTTATCTTCTAGGTTGGCCCGGCTGCGAGGCCAGGATCCTGAGAACATGAAGAAACCCAGTACGCCTAGTCTACACAATCCAGACAGTTTTCTTCAGCAGTATACTGCTAAGGAGGACCAGGTAGATGCTCGTCAGTAACATTGAGTCATAGAGTATCCAGGAGCACAACTTTTTTCTCTGAGGGGGGGGGTGGACGGAGAATTGTTTGTGGTCTGAAACTGTTAGAATAAAATTTTTGGAATTTTTAATTATGAACTTTTTTGTTTTTTACTTGTGAATTTCGATTTTAATCTCTTTTTAATCTTTTAAATTTTTGGGGAGCTAAAGAAGGATGCCATAGGAGCTATAGCCTGGAATAAATTAAGAGTCAATATTCAAGTTTTTTCTTACAGTTCTAACTTGAATTATTCTTAATAAATGTATCTTTTATAGTCATGGAGTCCATGGAGTGTGGAGAAAGAGTTTTTTTTATAATGCAATAACTTATTATTTGACAATTAGTTATTATATTTATGATGTTCAAATTATAATGTTGTGCATGATTTAGGAAACAATCGGTGATATGGATGTCGATGAGGTGGCTAAACTACTCGATATTGTTGGAAGGTAAGCACTTATACTTTACATCGGTTAGCTGGGATGAAAAGAGATACAATTAATTTAAATTGGATGGATTTTATTTTAGGAGTGGATTTGAAAATTGGTAAAAATAGTCTGTAAAAGATCAAAATGGAAATAAATTGATAAGTGTTGATGAGAACGGAAAAACTTATCAGAATGGATAAGAATTAATCTCAAAGAATTAGAATTGACCCGGTTTAAGTGTATTAATGCCAGAAAATTGAAATCACCCCCTCCCCCCTAGATATTAANAAGAAATTGCTTAGCTACGCTCCTGCCTCCAACCGGAGCCTTCAATATTCCCTAATCCATGATTTGATTTGATTCGAGTCCGAATTTAATGAATTTGAGCCGCGTCTCAAATCAGCCAAAAACCGGTTTCATTTGAGCGCCGGCCTAAATCTTGAAACATTGAATACGATTTCAAGTAGAACCAACAATATTTGAGCTGCGGCGGCTCAAATTCTTTAAATTCGGCCATTGATCTTGATCTTGAACCACATTTAAAAGTTTAAAATTCAGGGATGTTGAACTTGATGCGTTGAATGCTGTTCGAGAACTGGAGAAGGATAAAGCAATCCAGGTTCAGATTTAAAGGGACTGTCGTTGTAATTACAAGTTACCATCTTTTTTAAAGAGGGACGGACATGTCCGATTCACAATAGAAAATTTTAATCATAATGTGGAAGGTATCGTCGTTTTTCTAGCTCGAAAAGTGTCAAGTTTTCACTGTTTCCTCCATTGTTTTTGTTTCATAAGGAAACCAAGTTAAAAACATTGATGTCATTCGAATTCTCGATGAAACAAAACTTTTAAGGGTACCATTGAAATTCGGACATGCCACTATAAATGAAGGCTCACATATAATCACGTCTACAGTCCCTTGTAGATTAGGATTAAATGATTTTAACTTTTTAATTTGCTATTATTTGATTTTTTTGTAGCTGATTTTTCGCTAGGAAAGGAGTAGTCGGTAAAATTTAGAATTCCTTCTCTTTGATTTTCTTTATTGATTTAACAGTTGACAGAATTTAGAATTCCTTTTAGTTGATTTTCTTTATTAATTTAACAGTTGACAGAATTTAGAATTCCTTCTCGTTGATTTTTTTTATTGATTTAACAGTTGACAGAATTTAGAATTCCTTTTAGTTGATTTTCTTTATTAATTTAACAGTTGACAGAATTTAGAATTCTTTTAGTTAATTTTCTTTATTAATTTAACAGTTGACAGAATTTAGAATTCTTTTAGTTGATTTTCTTTATTGATTTAACAGTTGACAGAATTTAGAATTCCTTTTAGTTGATTTTCTTTACTTATTTAACAGTTGACAGAATTTAGAATTCATTTTAGTTTAGTTTCTTTATTGATTAAACAGTTGACAGAAGAATTCATTTTAGTTGATTTTCTTTATTGATTAAACAGTTGACAGAAGAATTCATTTTAGTTGATTTTCTTTATTTATTAAACAGTTGATAGAATTTAGAATTCCTTTTAGTTGATTTTCTTTATTGATTTAACAGTTAACAGAATTTAGAATTCCTTTTAGTTGATTTTCTTTATTGATTTAACAGTTAACAGAATTTAGAATTCCTTTTAGTTGATTTTCTTAATTGATTTAACAGATAACAGAATTTAGAATTCCTTTTAGTTGATTTCCTTTATTGATTTAACAGTTGACAGAATTTAGAATTCCTTTTAGTTGATTTTTCTTTATTAAAGGAACAGTTGGCAAAACTTAGAATTCGTCCTGGAGATGGGAAGAAGATGGAAGTTGATCCTGAGGATGAGGTTGATGATGAGGATGTGGATGAAGATGAAACTGAGAGGATTACAAAACAAATTATAGCTGAGCAAGAGCTAGAAGAACGTCTAAGGTATTTTATTTTCAGGAAACCAACTTCAAACTAGTTATCTAGAAATAAATGTTAATCTGTAGTAGCCTTGACTCCTTGACCTTTGAGTATCGGATATACTTTTTTTATGAAATGTTATTATTATTGTTATTATTATTCAGTTTACTACCTGATTATCTACCTGGATTTGGACCCAAGGGAGCTTCTGGAGCAGGTTCGATTACTCCGGGTTTACTGGATCCTTCTTCTCTTGGTAGGGCGGAGAGTAGTAAGGATGTTGAACCGGAGGAATTACCCTGGTGTGTTATTTGTAACGAGGATGCGTCCTTCAGGTATTAATAACTAAGATATCAATGTAGTTAAAGTGATAATTTTCAATAAAGAGTGACATAAATGATTCAAAAAAGTAAGATTTAGACCTGTTTCAGGATTCAAATATCAAAGATCTAGTCCATTGTTTAAATTAGGAGGAATTTTTGCCTTGTTGTAGTAATTTGCCGCAGAAAAGACCGCGCTGAGCCTGACCAGTGACCGGCCCCACCCCATCCTTTATACGTTGATATCGTTCAGTTTCTTTCTCCTAAAAAAATAAATTATTGAAGAATATTATGACGCTTTTTTTGCGAGTTCTTCTATGAAAATTCGTATTTGATACTTTTTTTGCAAAAAAAAAACATAAGTCTCTTTATCGTTTTCTTTTCTCTAGGTGTCGAGGCTGTGATAATGACTTGTACTGTCGAGGATGCTATAAAGAGTTTCATGTTGACGGGGATTTGAACGAGCACAAACAGATCTCATTCAGTCGTTAACTCAAGATTATATATTCTTCGCATTTTAGTTTTAAATCCATTTTTATAAGAACTAGTCCACACAATCTGCATCCTTGACTAGAGGTATATATTTTCGTGAAAACCATAATAATAATAATGTTTTTCCCCCTGATATTAGGCATTATTTTGTACGGTTTTATTCGCCGATTTGGGGAGGATAAATTATATTCAAGGAAAAATAAATTAATTATTTTGGTTAAAGTTTTATAGGATTAAAATGAACTTGCATTATTTTGTCAATTTTTTCACTCTTTTACCCTCAGCGTCAAAAATCATTTCCNGATTCTTGAAGATATTTAATTCTGACATGGATCTTTACTCTTCAGCCATCTAAAGAGCCTCTTTATCTACAATTTACACACATGACTAAAAAATTTAAATTTACAGAAAATAACTCGGTAATTAAAACCTCCTGGTTTCTTGAATTTTCAATTCATCATAAAACCTCTACAACTCCACTATCTAATAAACGTATTAAGCTCATATTATATATTAATACACAGGAAACACTTATGTGTTTGCTTAAAGATATTTTTGTACATGTATCATGTATGATTCAATACTTAAAACATGTAAGCTTATAAATAATCAAAATTTTTAAATATATATTCATTATTTATTATTATTAATATAATGTGTTATTTTCTTTTTAAAGTTTCATTCATAGTAGCTTAATTAATGTCTGTCAAATTTTTTTTTTCTAGATCAGATCTTTAAAACTGTATAATTTTTGATTTTTTCTCTTAACAATATATGTTTTCTCATAATGTATGGGTTAAATAATTAATTTCATGTTCCAAGAAATCTGCCTTTATACCTGGATAAGCATTTTGAAATGTGATCAGTGGCGTAAATAATATTGGGGTAGAATCCTTGGGGTAATTACCCCCCCCCCTAGAATTTTGGGGGGTAATTACATCCCCCCCCCCTAGATCTTGGGGACATAAACATCCCTGTTTAGAAACTTGATCTCCATGTTCATGATTACCATTAAGAGGAATGATAATCTTACTCAATCTACTTTAACAAAGTAACATAGATAAATTTTACCAACAAATCGAGTTTTATTGCTGATGAATACATACTTTGCTTGTCTGTTTGTTTGCCTGATTTTACTGGATTACTGGAATATATTTCGCTGGGAGATCACTTTCGTATCATATTCAGCAAGTCAATATATCTATTTTTGTTTCTAGTGATAGTTCATTAAGTTAAACCAGGGATCTGGGCGCCTCTGACACCTTCACCAGGGATCTAGGCGGCACCCCTGATTCCTATCACATTGAAGAAATATGTTTGTCATACATATTCTGAAAACTAATCAATTTGGTGGCATTTATAATGTATACTTGCAAACTGTTCCATCTTTTAATAACTCTCAAGCTAAAGAAGTTTCTCCTAATATCTAGATTGCGTAGTTTTGAGTTGAGGTTTATATTGCATGTCGAAAACCATGTTTCTTTGTTGAGATGTGTCTATAGACCTTGTAAACCATGTACCTTCTTTTACATTTTAATTTACAAAATGTACACTGTACAGTGTGTTGGTAAAAGATGGTGTACAATTGCTTCATGTTAATATTATTTACTTTACACTCTGTACTCGCCAGTGAATAAATAGAGTTTTTAAAATCATAATTTCATTAAATTTTCTAGATGAGAACCCGAATACTGCTACGATTGAGAAGAAAGGGACAGGGACTGCGTTTTATAAACCCCCGGATAAAAGGTAGAATAGAATTGATTAAAGGGACTGTTGTTGTAATTTCAAGTCCGATTCACTTAAGAACGGTACTCTTTAAACCTTTATCTGATCATTAATGTGGAATATACTGTCAGTTTTCTTGCTTGAAAAGTATTTGATTCTGACATTTTCTCTCATTATAAAACTCCAGAGATCAACCACCATTGAACATAATCAATTTTCATTGAGAAAATCATGGATATTTAATGCGTTTTTCGCGTGAAAAGGCTTTAAGGTTACTGTTGTGAATCGGACATGCCATACTATAAATGTGGAGGCAATACACTTAATCTGTTCAAGTAAACTCACATTGTACAGAGTACACTTACAATTGTATGGGAATATGGAGTTTATAATTGTTAATAATAGTAAACTCCATGATCCCTAGTCTGAAATTCAAAACAGGGTCATGAAAGTTGAAACCCCGTGTCGGAACCCGGGTTTCGTGAATGGATTAACTCAATTTTGTAGATATCAAATTTTTGTTTGAAACATGATTTTATATGATAAGTCTTAAAATTTTCTGATTCTTTTGTTAATATCTACACTATAGACTCCCAAAATGGAAACACGGGAGTTTCATACAAAGATACAGGGTGGCCAAAATGTACGGATTGTACGGATTGTACGGATTGACTTTTTTTTACCCTAAAATTGTACGGATTGTACGGATGGCACGGATTGTACGGATTTGTTTTCAAATTGTACGGATTGTACGGATTTGTATCCTGGAAAATACACTGTTTTTTTTAATTTTCACTCATTTCAGCAAATTTTTCATGAAAATTAAAAAAAAAATTCTCGTCAAAATGAAGTTAGTTTAACTTATTTTCTGCATTCTAAATAATATTAGATTGATAAATGTTTCAATTCAATTGACAATTAAAATTCATTCATAATTTTCGAGATATGTCCCAGAAGTGTTCATTTGAGAATATGTTCCAGAAGTAATCAGTCGAGAATATGTTCCAGAAGTATTTATTTGATTGCTTATTCAAGAAGATGTTCCAGAAATAGCATTCAAGCAAATGTAATGTTCCAAAAGTTTTCACTCAAGAAGCCAAAATCTTGCGGATCCAACGGATAGTTAATACCGGTATTAGCACAACTTATGAACGCGTAGGGTAGATGATCCTACCAACCAGGATTAGTTAAGAGTGCTATTAAGGGACTCTTGACCCAGCCTAAAACAAGAATGGCGGCTGTTGACTCAGAAATCTGCAGAATGTCAAAATAAAACTTTAAACCTCGGCACTGTGATAGATAAATTTTCAGGTGACATTTCTATCTAAAATGCGATTTAAGCAAGCTTTTTCTTGCAGTACACAAAATTTGTTTCTAGATTTTACAGCTTAAACCATGTTTGATAAATTTTGCTGCATTTCAATATCAAATAATTTTTACTGGCTTAGAATTTGACGTCAAATTTTTTTGTAACTTTCCAAGTCGCGGGTCTGTCCTAGTATACGATTTTTGGACCCCCCCCAGGCTCCCCCC